CTCACGTGTCAGTTTATTTTCCAATTGAGTTCTTCAACCCATAAGCCATAATAAAATGCCTCCGGGTTTTAACTATGCACACGTGGCGGGACTGTTTACCCATACGCCTCATGATGCCCCATGTATATTTCAAAAGCTTCAAAAGCTGACACACGACCAGATTATGTGTTTTAAGAAACAGCTGATGCTTGGAGGAGCGTGGCGTGATCTGTTGTAGTAATCAAGGAGAGTGCTTCACTGAGCTGCACTTTGGCTCTTTCCCTTTCTTAAGAAGGCTCAGATTAACGCTTCTGCACGTGCCTCTGTCAAACACCTTGAACATCACACTCTCAGACGTCCTTGAACCTGCTGAAGTTGGATTGGCTGTTGCATATTTGTTCATGTATGTGGCCATTGATTGCAAAGAAGCATCTTTTATTATGGCAACACGTGTTGCTGTGACATGCCTTTGCCACATTTGCCACACAAGGCGGTGGATTCATATAAAAGAATGTGGATTTATATAAATGTGCATTTAAATCCATAAAGAGCTTTTTAAACAACATGCTTGAAACGTTCTCTTTGTCCCCATCTGTTAAAAACAGGATTCTGCATTGCCTGGTGTCGGTATGTTTTCAGATGACAATCCTTCGAGATCTTGAGAAGTTGGCCGGATGGGTACGAATATCTATCATCTATATCCTGAGCGGCATCACAGGAAACCTGGCTAGTGCCATCTTCCTCCCCTACAGGGCTGAGGTGAGCCCCTCTTCCTCTTTTACACCGACAGGGTGCGCTGGGAACTGGAAACGCTCCAGTTGACGGACATCCGATGTGTGTTGTGGCTCTAGCTGCCTTAGTTTTCATTCGTTTAAAATAATTTTATTTATATAAATATCCTGTTTTCAAACATTATTTTGATCAGAGAAGTGACACTAATTTTTTGCCCGGCTCTAGTAATTAAAACACTTTAAAATAATGACTGAAATAAACTTTTTATTTGATAGGCATGTTTTAAAATTTCTCAATTAAGATGTATAAAGACCAAAAATGAATAATAATAATAAAAAAAAATGATATATATATACAGTTTATCTGTTTGATATACTGTATATTGTAGAGAGTATAGCAGTTGTGGCCTAATGGTTAGAGTCTCAGACTTGTAAATCAAAGGTCACAGGTTCGAGTCTCAATGAATGAACAGCGCTCTCTTGAGCAAGGCACCTTAAAGGAGTAGTTCACTTTTAAAAAAATCTTTTGCTGATAATTTACTCACCCCCATGTCATCCAAGATGTCCATGTCATTCTTTCTTCAGTCGAAAAGAAATTAAGGTTTTTGATGAAAACATTCCAGGATTTTTCTCCATATAATGGACTTCATTGGGCACCAAACGTGAATCTTTTTTCGAGTCATTTGGGTCGTCAAACGTACGAAATGACTCGAAAAAAGATTTGTTCATTTTGATGAACAAGTTTGAACAGGAGAGTCACGAACACGCATCACAGAACAGAGCAAGGCGAGCATTTGAGCTTATAAAACTTAAACTTTTTTATTTATTTTTTTAAATGAGTGATCGTTTCGCTTGATAAGACTCTTATTCATTCGTCTGGAATCGTTTAAAGCCCTTTGAAGCTGCTCTGAAACTCTCATTGAACCGTCTGGTTGCCATTGAAGTCCATTATATGGAGAAAAATCCTGGAATGTTTTCATCAAAAACCTTAATTTCTTTTCGACTGAAGAAAGAAAGACATGGACATCTTGGATGACATGGGGGTGAGTAAATTATCAGCAAAAGTTTTTTAAAAAATGAACTACTCCTTTAACCCCCAATCGCTCCCCAGGCGACGTTACAAAAATGGCTTCTTTATATATATATATATATATATTTATTTATTTATTCACCACTTCTCGTGTGGGGCTCTGTATTTTTATTTAAAAAAACATTGTCTTAACTACATTTTCTGACAGAATTATTAGCTTTTCATTGAACTCACAAACCCCCTGCAGTTCCCTCACTAACCACCACTAAATTCGCGAGTTTAGGAAGAGAATCGGCACAATCTTGGGGGAAAAGGGGTATTTTACTCATCTTGTAACAATGACTTAAATGAGCTTGTTGTTTCTGCCTTAAATTAATATGTTGTTAGCTAACTGCATGATTTGTATATGTACTTGTACACAGTCATCTCTGATAACTGATAAATTGAACTGTAGACACATGCATTTTCGCTAAAAACAATTTGAAGCGATGTGTAGTGTGAAACGCGCTATACAAATAAATGTGAATCGAATCTATCTATGGCCCTGAGCTCATCCCGACCCCCTCTTTTGCTGCTCCTCTAGGTGGGTCCCGCCGGCTCTCAGTTTGGCATCCTGGCCTGTCTGTTTGTGGAGCTGATTCAGAGCTGGCAGATTCTGGCTCAGCCGTGGCGGGCCTTCACTAAGCTGCTGTGCGTGGTGCTCTTTCTGTTCGCCTTCGGCCTGCTGCCCTGGATCGACAACTTCGCCCACATCTGCGGATTCATCTCGGGCTTCTTCCTCTCCTTCGCCTTCCTGCCCTACATCAGCTTCGGCCGCCTGGACATGTACCGCAAGCGCTGCCAGATCATCATCTTCATGGTGGTGTTCGTGGGCCTGTTCGCCGGACTCGTGGTGCTCTTCTACGTGTATCCCATCAAGTGTGAGTGGTGCGAGCTGCTCACCTGCATTCCTTTCACCGACAAGTTCTGTGAGAAGTACGACCTCAACGCGCATCTCCATTGAGGGAGAGGCGGGGCTTCGGTGACGGAGGGATTTGATTGGTCGTTGATCTGCATCCGCCGGCCCCAATTTGCACTTCGTCTCTTCCAAATGAAGCCCTTTCTGTGAACATGGACAGTATGCTTGTTTTGCTTGTTTTTTTTTTTTTACTCGAGTGCAAAGTGGAGATCCACTTTGACCATGATTTTAGGACTCTGAGAATGAAGAACACTTTTTAACGTATCCTAAAGTTTTATGTAGTCTAAGGGTGTCTGATAATCATGCGAAAACAGGGTCACCCTCGCCCGAAAACTATCTTTACACTACAGTCTCAGAAGGCAGTGTCATAATAAAAGCACTGGTACACCAAACGGAGAACACGTCTTCTCCAAATTTTGATTGTTGTACTTTTTATGTTTTAGCATGTCAGGGGTAGGTTTGTCTTTGTTTAGTCGACCTCAGAATCCAGGGACGAAAAAAAAAAAAACTCTGTACCTTTGGTGCCTTGATAAATGTACCTACTACTGCCATATTTTCGTTACACGTTTAGCACTCAAATGATATTCTTTTATTTGTGTGTTACTTCTAATGGAGTTATAGTTGATTATGAAAGGGTAGTGTTTTAGCTACCCAATTTACACACTTGTCACAGAATACAGCTAAAAACAACCTGCACCTCTGAAGTGTGTCTGTTTCTTGTCTACTAAACCGTAAACGAGCTCTCAAATATGGTTGCTCATTTCCACCTCGGAGTGAAGAAAAAAATAAACATTTACTTGATCTCAATGTGACTGTTTCTCGACATCACATATTGCAATGCGACTGTTTATCAAAATCTGTTTCCATCCACCTATTTTAATTCACATTTTGCGATCTTCCATAAAAAATGCTGGATGGAAACGTCAAGATAAGCAATGTATGTGCTCAATTGAGGCTGATCATTTTATATCCACATTTACCAATGCGCAACATAACAACTTGCATGACTTTGCCTAAAAAGAGGATGTGATTGGATAACATCACTAAGCAGCGGACCAATCGCATTGCACAGCATCCCAAATGTTGGTTGATTTTTCTCCATATAATGCACTTCAGTGGGAACCAAATGGTTCAAGGTCCTAGAGACACTTTCAGTACAAACTTCAAACTGTTCAAAGGACTTTAAACGATTCCAGACGATGAATAAGGGTCTTATCAAGCGATACAATCGCTCATTTAAAAAAAAAGTTTTATAAGCTCAAATGGTCGCCTTGCTCTGTACTACGTTTTGCGTTCTGACTCTCCTGTTCGAACTCGTTTATCAAAATGAACTAATCTTTTTCCGAGTCAATTCGTTCATTTTGTTCGTTGAATGAACCAAACGACTCGGAAAAAGATTTGTTCATTTTCATGAACGAGTTTGAACGGGAGAGTCACGAACGTGCGTCACAGAACAGAGAAAGGCGAGCATTTGAGCTTATAAAACTTAAACTTTGTAATTTATTTATTAAATGAGCGATCGTTTCGCTCGATAAAACCCTTATTCGTCCCTTTGAACAGTTTGCACTGAAAGTGTCTTTTGGACCTTGAACCGTTTGGTTCCCATTGAAGTCCATTATTTGGAGAAAAATCCTGGAATGTTTTCATCAAAAACCTTAATTTCTTTTCAACTGAATAAAGAAAGACATGGACATCTTGGATGACATGGGGGTGAGTAAATTATCAGCAAAAGTTTTTTCAAAAGTGAACTACTTTAATATCTAACAATTGTGACTTTTCATAATGTGGGTTTATATATAATGAGTGACTTGCCTGTATTTCTCTTAACGGCGACTTATCTTACAATTGCGTTGCGTACTTTTCTCCCTGAGGTGGAAACAGACGTCCATCCCAAACCACTCCAAGTTATGATGGTGGTACCAAGGATAACTTCATGTATCCAAAAACCTAAAGAAATGGTTTCTCACCACTGTGCATAAATTACACATTACAAAAATATAGCTTTTTTAAATTTTTTATTGATTAAGATAGGCATATTTGTATGACTGAGAATGTTTGTGGATGCTCTAATTAAAGTTTACATCAGTTCATAGTTCATTCATTGCATTTCAAAACACATTGTCACATATGCAGTAATATATTAGTAAGATTTTATTCTAAAACAGTATTCAACATTTCACTGTCCACTTGCAATCCAAGGGATGAAACATTATATAAAAATAAAATTATGTGTAAAATTTTCAATTAAATTTTCCAGAAGAACGATTCTGAATTCAGTTTTTTTAATGGTTTTGTACCAGTCGACTATGATTTATGTAAATATTATTTATTACTAAAAACAACTACTGGTTTTTTTTTACCAGTTAAGTGTGCAGTGTGTCTTGGGCAGTTCACAATAAGAAAAAAAATGCGGTAAACAACCAACATCTGTGTGCAAACTCTTTAAATGAGTGCATAGGCAAGTCTCTGGTTCTTTGCTTAGGTGGTATTAGGGCTTTGAGTCCTGAACTGGGTGAGAACCGTCCAGAATCTACACATGATGTCCTTTATCAGGATCGGATGTGCTGTAAGCTAAAGAAACTTAACATCCGCTGTTTCGTCGTGCATAAGCCAGGCCTCTGAGCTGATACTCCATCTCTGTGAAAGTCAAAGCCCCCACACTGATGGCCGACTGACCCTTCTCCTTGAAGCCAGCTTTCTGGTAGAAGGGCACCAGGAACTCCTCACACACCAGCAGGGCCCTGCGCAGGCTGGGGAGACAGCGAAGATACTGCAGGTAGCGCCAAAGCAAGATGGAGCCTTTGCCCTGCTGCCGACACTGGCGGTGCACTGACAACACGTGGATGTGTACCGCGGGAGAGTCTGGGACGTGCGTGTTCATGGCCTCCTGGATAAGATGAAAAAAAGATGGTTAGAATCTAAATGCATTCTTACGGAGCCCCTCTAGTCCCACTTTGGCAAAAAAAATTTAATTATAACTATCTTGTGGCCTCAAGATAGAGTCTCTTGAGGCCACGAGTTACTATCTTGAGGCCACAAATTAGTATCTTGAGGCCACGAATTACTATCTTGAGGCCACGAGTTACTATCTTGAGGCCACGAGTTACTATCTTGAGGCCACGAATTACTATCTTGAGGCCACGAGTTAGTATCTTGAGGCCACGAGTTAGTATCTTGAGGCCACGAATTACTATCTTAAGGCCACGAGTTACTATCTTGAGGCCACGAGTTACTATCTTGAGGCCACGAGTTACTATCTTGAGGCCACGAATTACTATCTTGAGGCCACGAATTACTATCTTGAGGCCACGAGTTAGTATCTTGAGGCCACGAATTACTATCTTGAGGCCACGAGTTACTATCTTGAGGCCACGAGTTACTATCTTGAGGCCACGAGTTACTATCTTGAGGCCACGAGTTACTATCTTGAGGCCACGAGTTACTATCTTGAGGCCACGAGTTACTTATCTTGAGGGCACGAGTTACTTATCTTGAGGCCACGAGTTACTTATCTTGAGGCCACGAGTTACTATCTTGAGGCCACGAGTTACTATCTTGAGGCCACGAGTTACTATCTTGAGGCCACGAGTTACTATCTTGAGGCCACGAGTTACTATCTTGAGGCCACGAGTTACTTATCTTGAGGCCACGAGTTACTATCTTGAGGCCACGAGTTACTTATCTTGAGGCCACGAGTTACTATCTTGAGGCCACGAGTTACTATCTTGAGGCCACGAGTTACTTATCTTGAGGCCACGAGTTACTATCTTGAGGCCACGAGTTACTATCTTGAGGCCACGAGTTACTATCTTGAGGCCACGAGTTACTATCTTGAGGCCACGAGTTACTTATCTTGAGGCCACGAGTTACTATCTTGAGGCCACGAGTTACTTATCTTGAGGCCACGAGTTACTATCTTGAGGCCACGAGTTACTATCTTGAGGCCACGAGTTACTATCTTGAGGCCACGAGTTACTTATCTTGAGGCCACGAGTTACTATCTTGAGGCCACGAGTTACTATCTTGAGGCCACGAGTTACTTATCTTGAGGCCACGAGTTACTATCTTGAGGCCACGAGTTACTATCTTGAGGCCACGAGTTACTATCTTGAGGCCACAGTTACTATCTTGAGGCCACGAGTTACTATCTTGAGGCCACGAGTTACTATCTTGAGGCCACGAGTTACTTATCTTGAGGCCACGAGTTACTATCTTGAGGCCACGAGTTACTTATCTTGAGGCCACGAGTTACTATCTTGAGGCCACGAGTTACTTATCTTGAGGCCACGAGTTACTATCTTGAGGCCACGAGTTACTATCTTGAGGCCACGAGTTACTTATCTTGAGGCCACGAGTTACTATCTTGAGGCCACGAGTTACTATCTTGAGGCCACGAGTTACTATCTTGAGGCCACGAGTTACTTATCTTGAGGCCACGAGTTACTATCTTGAGGCCACGAGTTACTATCTTGAGGCCACGAGTTACTATCTTGAGGCCACGAGTTACTATCTTGAGGCCACAGTTACTATCTTGAGGCCACGAGTTACTATCTTGAGGCCACGAGTTACTATCTTGAGGCCACGAGTTACTTATCTTGAGGCCACGAGTTACTATCTTGAGGCCACGAGTTACTTATCTTGAGGCCACAAGTTACTATCTTGAGGCCACGAGTTACTTATCTTGAGGCCACGAGTTACTATCTTGAGGCCACGAGTTACTATCTTGAGGCCACGAGTTACTTATCTTGAGGCCACGAGTTACTATCTTGAGGCCACGAGTTACTATCTTGAGGCCACGAGTTACTATCTTGAGGCCACGAGTTACTATCTTGAGGCCACGAGTTACTATCTTGAGGCCACGAGTTACTATCTTGAGGCCACGAGTTACTATCTTGAGGCCACGAGTTACTATCTTGTGGCCACGAGTTACTATCTTGAGGCCACGAGTTACTATCTTGAGGCCACGAGTTACTATCTTGAGGCCACGAGTTACTATCTTGAGGCCACGAGTTACTATCTTGAGGCCACGAGTTACTATCTTGTGGCCACGAGTTACTATCTTGTGGCCACGAGTTACTATCTTGAGGCCACGAGTTACTATCTTGAGGCCACGAGTTACTATCTTGTGGCCACGAGTTACTATCTTGTGGCCACGAGTTACTATCTTGAGGCCACGAGTTACTATCTTGAGGCCTCGAGTTACTATCTTGAGGCCACGAGTTACTATCTTGAGGCCACGAATTACTATCTTGAGGCCACGAGTTACTATCTTGAGGCCACGAGTTACTATCTTGAGGCCACGAGTTACTATCTTGTGGCCACGAGTTACTATCTTGAGGCCACGAGTTACTATCTTGAGGCCACGAGTTACTATCTTGAGGCCACGAGTTACTATCTTGAGGCCACGAGTTACTTATCTTGAGGCCACGAGTTACTATCTTGAGGCCACGAATTACTATCTTGAGGCCACGAGTTACTATCTTGTGGCCACGAGTTACTATCTTGAGGCCACGAGTTACTATCTTGAGGCCAGGGGTTAATATCTTGAGGCCACGAGATAGTTATAATTAATTTTTTTTGTCAAAGTGGGGCTAGGGGGGCTCCGTACATTCTAACGGAACTGATACAAGGTTTCTTTAAAGAACCACACAGGTGTTTTTCCCCACAACTACACTGTATAAAAGTGTAGAGAATCACTTCTCACCTGTCCTAGTTTCTCTTTGTCCCAGCCGGATCCAATGATGAAGGCCACCAGCTGGCCCTCTTCAAACCATCCCAAAGAGAGCTCAGGACACTGACCCAGGAAACTAAGCACCTCATCAAGGGTGAGTGGACATTCACCAGAAACTGAGACGAACGCTGAAGAGGGAGAGATGGGAGAGATACAGGTGTGAGTCAACCCTCATCCCAACGCAAACAACAGCTTATCGGCAGATTAGCAGGTTTATCGCAAACAAGCCGGCTTGTTGCAAGTCTTCTTCTATTTTTGCAGTCTTCTGTATGTAAAACTTGGGAAGAGCTTAAGGAATTTAGGATTGGTTTGACTTAACTCGTCTACAAAGCTTAGCAAATAAGTGTGTGTTGGTGTGTATTTATAGGCACCAATTTTAAAACGAGTTCTGTAAATAAATGTTACTTTTTTCCAGGCTAGCCAAAACCATTATTTTTTATTTTTTTTCCAAATTCAAAAAGAATGTATTTTATTAGTATGACACACCATTGTTCAAAAGTATTGTTTTAGTATATGATATTTTCAGGTTTTTACTTATGCTCACCAAGACTGCATTTATTTTATCAAAAATATTGATAAAAAGTGAAATATTAATACTATTTAAAATAACGTTTTTTGTGTGTGAATATAATTTTAAATTTAATTTATTCCTGTTATCAAAGCTGAATTTTCAGCATCATTTCCCCAGTCTTCAGCGTCATTCTTCGGAAATCGTTCTAATATGATGATTTGATGCCCAAGAAACAATTATTATTATTATCAATGTTTAAAACAGTTACTGTTTTTAAAGTGTCTGTGAAAACCGCAATTCTTTGATGAATGTAAAATTAAAAAAATGCATTTTGTAATGTACATATTTTGCAAATATATTTATTATTAAATAATATATATATTATATAATATACATTTTTACAAATTTAATGTATTTGAAATGTGCTGTAGGCCTACAGTTGTCAAAACATTACAGAAAATTCAAATAAAATAATAAGTAAAAAAAATAGTACATCTAAATTATGTATGCAAATTTAATAGGCAAATCTCTTGCCTACAAATTTTAAAAACTAAATGTAAAAATTCTCAAAAACTAAATTAGGCCAACAACTAAATTAAAACTAAATCTTACAACATTTTTTTACATTTACTGACACTGCACAAAGAAGAAGAGGAGGATGAAAAAGAAGCATCTTACCTTCTCTCTCGATCTCAAATACACTAATGGCGTCCTGTGGCGTGAGATTTCGGAACTCGCTCGCGGGTAATGTGTGTCGTCGCTGGCGTCGCGAGCTGCCAACGCTAAGCGGCGTCTTCAGGAAGAACGGCTTCAGGAAGGGTGAGCTGACGACCTGAGGTGCCATCATCTGACACGAGCTCACTTCGGACTGCTGGAGGACTAGACTGTTTGAAATAGTAGAGATTTTCCTTCACTAGTTTAAAGTTTTAGGACACTGCTGTCTTCCCGTCAGTCTTTGTCCGGGCTGCTCTCTTCTATGGTCCGATGTGTTTGAATCCTATCGTTCAAACTCGGCTCGCTGCTGTCTCCTCTCCTCCTCTTTAACCCTCCTTTGGGCTCTTTCCCAGCCCGCCCCACATCTAAAGTGTCCCGTGTTTAGGGATAGTGATGGATGCACGTGGCAGGTGAAGCCGCACCAATTCCCTAAAAGTCTGTGTGCTAATAGCCTACTCTCAACACAGCTCATCAGCCTCTCTTACTAACACTTACCCAGAAACTGTTTGCACAGCCAAACCAAGCTTTGGAGTGTTTACGCCAGCCCTGATATGAGCCACAACATCATGTCTGTTCTGTATTTCTTGCTTCAATGCATAACTGAAATTATTAATACAAACAATAAATGGTCAAGGCAAACCATATAGGCTACTATATGTTAACCCAAGGCTTTGTACAGTCCCATCTGTATAGCAATCCCTGGCTGAATTATTATTCATTCGATAAAGAATCTATTATATTTACCATATAGAGCAATTAATTCATAGCATATCATGTGCCTGAAAGTTAATGTACATATTTTTGACAGACTGCTGTTTATTTTTTATCCCTCAACGTCATCCTTTTCAAATCTACACAGTCTAAGGCGCTTCCGGAACCCTTTGTATTGAACATTATGTTTTAAAATGACGTCAAACTGAAGCTCTGGGTTAATCCTGGACCTCAGATGACCTGCAATTTGAGTTCAATTTAAAGGGATAGTTCACTTTGAAATTAATTTTTGGTATGTTTTAGCTTACCTCAAGCAAGGGCATCCAAGATGTAGGTGTCTTTGTTTGTGCACTACTTTCAATTTTTATATTTTTAGGTCAAACCGTTCTTGTCTGTCAGTCATATAATGGAGGTCTATGGTCACCACCTCAAAGAGCATGCACAGAGAAGTCCAAATTAAACATGATTTAATGACTCGTAAATGTAAGTACACGTTGATGGCCTAAGACACGAAACGAGCGGTTTGTGTGAGAAAACGAACAGAATTTATATAGTTTTTACCTCTTGGAACCACAGCCACGTCCAAGTGATCTGACGGCACAAGTTATCGCGCGGTCGCGAAAAAAATGCAACGTTGTCTGTTGATATTTCAAAACCGTCTTCCATTGCGATTTCCTGTACATCAAAATATGTTTAGATCTTCACAGTGAAAGGTAACACTTCCGAAATCTCTGTGTAAAGAATGAGTAACGTACACGCGCGCGAGATCACTTCCAGGGCTTTATAACGATAACGATATAAATACTGCTCATTTTCTCACACAAACTGCTCGTTTCGTGTCTTAGGCCATCAATGTGTACTTACATTTACGAGTCATTAAATCATGTTTAATTTGGACTTCTCTGTGCATGCTCTTTGAGGTGGTGACCATAGACCTCCATTATATGAGACAAGACAAGAACGGTTTGACCTAAAAATATCAAAATTGAAAATTCTGTGGAAACAAAGGCGCCTTGGATACCCTTGAGGTAAGCTAAAACATACCAAAAATTAAAGTGAACTATCCCTTTAATGAGCAGAGCTTAAAATAAATTAACTTAACACCATTATTAATCAGTTTTGTTTGTTTTTTTGGTTTATTTTACATTTGTTGTACAGGGCAGCTTAATCAGTATTAACAGATAAAATATTGATCCTGATATAATGAAAAATCATGTAGGCCTATCGCAGCATTACAAAGTTTATTAATATGTTCAATATCAGCAATATGTTACATACTTAATAGCAATTTAAAATCATCTGCTCTTCAAAATGGACATTAAATAAGTAGTCGCACGTGTAATACATACATGTAAATCAATCAAGGCTTAAGGTTACAGCTTTAAAGATGAACAGCACAGCTATGGGGGAAAGCTGTAGCAACACTTGCTTTGTTTTTTAAAGGCACATAAACCTCTGCATAATGCTACAAGACACGGCATATCTGCATGTTTGAGGAGAACAATGAGATTTAATGCTTCTTGTGACTTGTTCATTTAGCTGTTCTTTCCTTTCTTAGAAATACAAGGTCCAGCTGTGAGCAAATACAACCCGTCAAATATTCACAAAGCGATGAAATATCATTTGAACTGACACATGAAAGAAATGCCTTCACATGTTGAAGTATTTAAAGATCATAATACAATATTTATAAAGCAAATAAAGAGGTAAACAGAGTCCAGCATGGCTTTTTTTAGTCCTTAAAGTTTTAAAGAGCATAAATAGCTAAACAAGCAAACACATTTAAAGCACTGTTAGACCACACAATGTTTTTGTCATTAAACTGACAAGAAGTCAACCATTTTTAACATTATTTGATCACTATAAATATTACATTTGGAATCATGAATATATATATTCTGAGGTGCTTTTCAGGTCAGGACATTTAAGTACTTACTAAAACATTTCAACGCACAGTTATATTTCTGTATTATTTACTAGTGAGTTTAATACGATCATTTATCGAGTAAACACTCTGATGTTTAGTCATACAGATATCCTTAAAGAAGTAGTTAACTTTTAAAAAAACTTTTGCTGATAATTTACTCACCCCCATGTCATCCAAGATGTCCATGTCTTTCTTTCTTCAGTCGAAAAGAAATTAAGGTTTTTGATGAAAACATTCCAGGATTTTCTCCATATAATGGACTTCAATGGGAACCAAACGGTTCAAGGTCCAAAAGACAGTTTCAGTGCAAACTGCAAAATGTTCAAAGGGCTTTAAGCGATTCCAGACGATAAATAAGGGTCTTATCAAGCAAAACGATCGCTCGTTTAAAAAAAATAAATAACAAAGTTTAAGTTTTATAACCTCAAATGCTCGCCTTGCTCTGTTCTGTGATGCGCATTCGTGACTCTCCTGTTCGAACTCGTTCATCAAAATGAACGAACCTTTTTCCGAGTCATTTGGTTCATTCCACGAACGAAACAAACGAATTGACTCAGAAAAAGGGTTGTTCATTTTGACGAGTTTGAATAGGAGTCACGAGCGTGCGTCACAGAACAGAGCAAGGCGAGCATTTGAGCTTATAAAACTTAAACTTTGTTATTTATTTATTAAATGAGTGATCGTTTCGCTTGATAAGACCCTTATTCATCGTCTGGAATCGTTTAAAGCCCTTTGAAGAGTTTGCAGTTTGCACTGAAACGGTCTTTTGGACCTTGAACCGTTTGGTTCCCATTGAAGTCCATTATATGGAGAAAAATCCTGGAATGTTTTCATCAAAAACCTTCATTTCTTTTCGACTGAGGAAAGAAAGACATGGACATCTTGGATGACATGAGGGTGAGTAAATTATCAGCAAAGGTTTTTGAAAAGTGAACTACACCTTTGAGTGTTTTACTGAAATGTGCTTTGTCTATTAACCATAACAAGCTGCCGTATGTCGATATGTGTTATGATACGATCCAGATCAAAGCTCTATATTAAGCACTGAGATGGTGTTTTTCTCCCTCAACTACACTCTTAAATAAAAAGCTTCCAAAGGGGGGTTTGTAACGATGCGATATAAAAACGAATCATTTTGTTTTCTCAAATTATCTTTCAGCGATCAGTTCTTAAACGTGAATAACATTTTAAAATCCTAAAGAAACTTTAGTGCAATGGAAAGATTTCTGGACGTTAGGGTGTGTTCACACTTGCAGTTGGTTCGTTTGGTCCGGACCAAAAAAACAACAACATAAAAACCATTTAGTCCTAGCCCGCTTAGCATTCACATTCACATTCACATTTTAACACCAAACCTAAACCAAAGGCATACGTTCAAAACTTAACTGGTCGGCTTTTATTGCATTTATTTGGCAACGGAACTTACTGAATATCCAAACCTATGTGTACTAGGCTAAATGTGCGTGTGTAGCTTACATATGATGGTATTTTGACCAGCTGAGAACTCATTAAGAGCTTATAAAATGAGTCAGAACATGACCACACATGCCAAGTGTGAACACACCCTTGAAGGTTAGATCCCAATTAAGAACCTTTATTTTTAAGAGTGTATACACAAATAAGTAACAAATATATATAGCATTAGCAAGGAAAATTTTCAACATTTAATTTACATAATTTATTCACCCTCATGTCATTCTAACCCAGTATTATGTCTTTTGCCATGAAAAGATGGCTGGTGAAGCTCCAAAAGTTTGATAAGTAGTCCATGGAGGTTTTTTTTTTACTTGAAGGGAATATTATTAGATGGTTTAGAGTTTGGCCTCTTTATCACACAAATCATATGGCTTCAAAAGACTTACATAAAGCATAGCAGTCGTACAGACTACTTGATATAACTAATGATATTTTATTTAACATTACTTTTTGGAGCTTAAGTAGCACAAATCACCATCCCCCTTCAAATTATGGAAAAGAGAAGCTTGGACTTCTCCTTACGGATTTATGGAAGAAAGTAAGGCATAATACATGCAATAACGTGAGGGCGATCACTTTGGTGTGAATTAAGAGCCCTAAAAATCAAGCACAATGATAAATGACAGATCACCAGAACAAAAGTGATCAAAACAAAAGGGCTGAATCTCATTTAAAGTTGGATACTGGAATGGGGACTGCATCAAACTTCAATGTGGGATTGCTATGTACATAGACTAGAGAGAAGATGGACCTGCATGGTTAAAAATCCAGTTCTTCATCGTCCATGTGAAAATGGCTTGAGGGACCGAGGAGAGGCTGGCTGGAGCAGCAGGTACTCTGAGTGTTCAGACTTTCAGTTGAGCCAGACAATCCTACACAAACGACAGACACTGCAGTTAAAAACAAAACAAGAAGTACTCTACACCAGTGGTTCCCAACCCTGATCCTGGAGCATTGGTTCACAAGGGGGCCTCAGCGAGCTCTGTGGGGGGTCGTGGCATATTTTGAAGGCTTGAGCAATAAGCATTAAATAAAAGTCCTTAACTTTTTTCTGTTCAAAATTTACAAAGTGTATTTAATGAGTGAGTTCATCATGAATCCATTTTCCAATCCGTGTTTTTGTCTTATCCTGAACAACTATGGTACACCTATAATAAGTGTTTACATTGGGACTATTTTACACTGGTTCGGATCGCTGCCGATCGTAGTAGTTCCGGCTACACTGTTCTTTCCGAAAGACGCATTATTCTGTTAATACATGCAAGTTTATTATCGCTCGCTATAGCGCCAAAAGCATAAAAATAAAGCCTCATATTGATAAAGCCTCACAGATAACATGCAAGTATTGAGGCCCCAGATAACATTCATTTAATAGCAGATATTCTTTTTTTTAACCTAAACACCAGTGTGAATATTTTTATTTTTGCATTTCAAATAGGGCCAATTAATAGGCTTCTCCTAGGCTTACGTTGTTAAATTACAAAGGGCCTACTGATGTTTTAGTCATTGTATTTTTAATATTATAGGCTATTCTTTGTGCATAAACATACTGTTTGTTTGAAAAAAAAATATTTTGTTATCCTTGCTGCAAGCTTACAAGAGCGATAATATCATTAAATGTGAAGGGGGGCCCTAAAATATTTTCTTGGGAAAAAGGGGGTCACAGACGAAAAAAGGTTGGGAACCACTGTCCTGGAGTACTGAACACCAACACTGCACATTGTGGATGTCTCTCTAATCTGACGCACTCATTTGAGGTCTTGGGAGTCTTTACTAATGAGCGGTTGGTTTGAATCGGGTGCGTTTTATTAGATAGACATGTAAAGGTACGTTTACACGTCAAACTAAATACGGATCCGCGAAAACGACTAAAAACGTTGTATTATGCTGCCAGGCCAGAAGTTGGCGATGTCGCTTTGTAAAGAAACGCTACGGGCCTATAGACTGAACACGTAACACGCATGCACTAAAAGCTACAATAAGTCATTTTTTTCGCCGCAAAGGGTCGCTAACCTCTTACAATAACAAATGTGTAGGTTGATGACGCAAAGCATTAAGCGGAATTATGGATCTTGTCTTCAAGCTGATGGATTTAATAATGTTTGTGGATGAGTGAATAAATTGATGTTTTTATCATGACTGTGGTGTGAAGCAGGGCGCGATTGCTAATGAGACGTATACCAGCATTACACACAAGGATATAAAAGGAACAAGGACAATTCATTCTACCGAACTAAACGCAAGTGCTTAATTAATACTCACACAGGTCAGTTTATTAGATGAATTAAACTTGAGGTAACGCAGCACTGTTACACTTGCTCTAACAGTTACACTATCACACTAAACTACATTTGATTGGGTTGAAAGTTATTCTATGTGTTAGTTTGAGACTAGCAGTAAGCTAGATCAACATTAGAATAACATACAGATCATATTCTAACATTCATCATGTTGAACTATATAACACTGATTCATGTTATGTACATTTGCTCACCTATCTAATAAAGTACGTGCAACAGTCTTGACAGAGAAGCCACTCACGTAAAAAATAGTCGCGTACGTGGAGCTCTCGGCATCTCGAAAGATGTTGATCTTTGTTTTAGTCCTGTTTTTGTCTCAAAGTCTGCTTGCCATGGTCCAAAATGTTTGAACAAAACAAAAACAGCATGAGCGCACCACTAGGCGTAACCCAGTTGTCCACGTCTGTCGCCATGGTAACTATAGCAGTACGAGCGGAAACTGGGGGTAGCGCGGATATGACGTCATTGACTGGCGACTCCTCACCCCCGCTCACACGCCCCGGTTCCTTGGTTAAAATCGCAATTTTCGCACGATTTACAAATAGTTGGAAACATTTGAGATATTGTAAGTAATCAAAGGTGCTCTAAACGATGTCGGGTGACGTGACTTCTTGTTGACGTTTAAAGTATTTTCAAACAAAACGGAGGCTAGATAGACCCTCCCACCTCCTCATCTGTGCACTGACCCCCCAAACCCCACCCCCAGGGCCTTCTTGTTAGTTATTGGCTGGAACAGTTTGTTCTGTTTCGTGGAGCGGGTTGCCGCAGTTTGTTTTTGTTGCCATTTGTGGAGCCTGGGTTGTCTGCATAGACCGCATTTTTTTACAGTGTGTTTAGGGGACATGCAGCTAGCGGATAGTGAGGAGATGTTTGCTGTATGTGACAAAAAGTGTTTGGGCCTAAAAAACGTGTGACATCGCTTAGAGCACCTTCAACTTAACAAAATATATAACACTAGCCTAGTAGTTTTTGGATATTTTACTGCAAAATTATTACATAGTGCACCTTTAACATCAACGGTTTCACAAATTTGCATTTTTGCAGTTTACACAGAGGCGATAACGGTTTCGTTTTCAAAAACTTGCACTTTGCACTATTTCAGGCCCCCAAAACATGCTGTCGTGTGAATGAACGGCCAAAACACATAAGTTTCCATCGTGTAAAAACTGCTGTGCTGGTGTACTTCGGGACCAGGGTTAGGAAACACTGTTCTTCACTAATATCTAAACATAAAATAACATTTAACATGCCAAAGTTTAATAAAAAAATGTAAATTGTAATGAGCAACAATCTGATGACCAATTAAACTAGTAAAACTGAGAAAAATTTTGTGCAGCAAAGAACAAGAACATGAAGGAACAGCTGAGAGAAGAACACAGAAGCCTACATACCAGTTACTCTTCCATACCAATAGAGCAGGAATCAGGACCTAGAGCTGCCCAGAGCAAGACCACAAGAGCAGACAGGAAGACAGTCGAGAAATAAATGGCACACAGGTTAGATAAGCTGAACGACTGAGAGCCAGAAACAGAGCTTTGTCGACTCGCCAAAGAGTAAGAACGAACAGTGTTGTTCGATGAGTGCACGCACACTCGAGGCTATAGCGTTTCTGAAAGCATGCAGAGTGGGCTCTTGTGTCCAGATGCACTCACCAGGGAGGGACAGGTCTCCAGGTGGGTCACTATCAGTTTTGGTAAAGCTGCTGTGCTCGCTGCTACAGTCATTCATGGCCTCTTCCTCCAAATTCAGCCCATCCTCTTCACAAATAACAGAAACAAAAGCTGTAATTGGACAAAAGCTTCTTCGACTGTTAGTAAAAATGTCTGTCTATGATATTAAGGAATACATGTTCACCCACTTGTTTTCAAAATATTTGTAATATATATGCAGCCCTTCAAAAATGTGGGGTCAGTACAAATTTTTCCTTTTTGTGTGTGTGTGTGTGTGTGGAAAAACACAATAATTAAATAAAATTGGCTTTACTGTCACTTTTAATCAGAGGTCGACTGATCTGCAAAAATCCACACCGATAGTTTGTCCGAGATGCGTCCATTAGAGTCTGCTGACATTATGCGGTATGAGAGCGGCCTCTAGAGGCGAAATAAAAACTATCACTGACGTCTTGTGGTGTTTGTTTGAACACACGCTGCACTGAGAGGGACACTTCAGAAATGGATTTAAAAGTTTTAAACCGACAAAGAAACGGTAAGTATAGAGTACATGTTATTACAGTAAGTAATTCATTTGTTGACTAGATGTGCATTAGTAAAGAACTGCAGCATGTTTTCAGTCAAGGCTGAGAGGACGCTAACATTGGTAGTACCTCATGTGTTTAAAACAATGTGTGTTATTTTATTTTTGTTATTTTTACATTAGTTAATGGACTATGACTTAACATGAATGATTAAGGTATAAGTCATATATGAATATTTGTTTTAAAAAGTACAGAACATTTTCATGGTTCATTATTGTTTTTTAATTAAACGTTCAGCAGAACATAAGTTTTGTATGTTATGGTTTTTTTTCCATTCAGAATCCATTTTAAAAGCTATCGGTTGATTAGATTAGACTGTGTGTTTGTATATGTATCTATATATGTGTTACATGATATATGTGATATTTCTGAGCTATGGAAGAAGGAAAAAATGATGTGTAAAAATGATTATCCCTATGGGACAATAAAGACTATCTGTCTGTCTGTCTGTCTATTTCTATTCTTCAAATAATCCTGAAAAATGTATTATGGTGTGCAGCAAAACAGTTTTGGTAAATTGAATGATAATAAGAAATGTTTCAAATCATCATATTAGAATGATTTCCGAAGGACCACGTGACACTGAAGCCTGGAGAAATGACGGAAAATGAAATTCTGCTTTGCATCACAGAAATAAATTACAATTTAAAATATATCAAAATAGAAAAGAGCTATTTCAAATTGTAATAATATTTTACAATTTTACAGTATTTTTAATTAAATAAATGCACCTTTTGTGATCATAACTCAATTTTTTACTGACTCAAACCTTTGAACAGTAGTGCAAGTGTATTTGGTGTTGTTCCACTGACAAATTATACTTGTTTTAACGATAACCTTCATTCAAAACTAACCCTATTAAAACTAACTAAGCAAAATGTAATAACTTGCTCTTCCTCTGACACTACCCTGCCTTTCAATTTCAGCTCATTTCGGTTTCAATTACCTCACTTTAAAACTTCTGTAATGTTGAGGAGGGAAAAGCAGACTGAATCTTTGTTTATTACTTCAAAATATGTTGCCACAGTGACAAACAACATGACTTGGTGCATCTGAACATGCTCCCATCATAAGTCCCAACAGGTTCAATACTTTCAACTAGTGCTGTCAACAGATTTAAATCTATAAAATGTTTTATTATTAATCTCTTAAATTAATTCAATTTAATCACATTTTCAGCAATATTTACTGAGAGAAAAAAAAACACATTATTGTGATAAAAACCCCTATATAATATATGATAAGCATGAGGCAATAAAGCATTAGCATGATTTCCCATCAGACAGTGATAAGAGTAGAGTTACTCACCATCTTCAGGAGACAGTGAATCGGGGGCGTCCTCGCCAGCCGTACCCTGAGAAAACAAAGACATCAGAATCTCACACCCATCATCAAGCAGGCCGTGTAGAAGATGTTATACGGGCTGCGCTGCTGACCTCAGTGGGGGCGGGACTGCTGCTGGACAACAGCATGTGAGCTTGTGCATCAGACATCTCAGACAGTTTCTCTTCATCCTCCTCCTGGATCGGAGATGACGGGGAGCGTAGAGTGCTGCAAACACACAAACTGTCAAAGCTATTGATGTGCACAGGTAACACGCCAACTACTATTAGTACAAATAATAATTGCTATTTGTACCTTAACATAGGGAACCATGAAACATCTTTCCCATTTGTCACCTAAACACATTACTGAATGCACTGGGTGGCGCTGTGGATATGTGAATTAAGTATTTGGTTCTGGCTAGTCAAGTGTCACGCATCCCACATGTATATATATACATACAGAGAGAGAGAGAGAGAGAGAGAGAGAGAGAGAGAGAGAAAGAGAGAGAGAGATCCACCGATAGCAAACCACAACCATCCAGAAAAGGCAATTACAAATTATGTACCATGCCAACTTTAATATAGTGTTGTAAATAGTAAATATTTAGTGGTAATGGTGATTTTTCAGTTTATCAATATCATCTCTCTCTGTTTAAATGAGAGCTACAAGTGAAATGTACAAGTTAAAACATTTGAAATCAATATTTGCATGTTCACATGTTGTGAATCGCAAACCAAAGAATGGCAGGAAGGGAAAAAAACAAACAAATACTGTCGTCAAGTAATCAAGCTTCTCAGTGTCATTTGTGTTAAAAAATGATCTGATGAAAGCTGGAATGAGTCAACAACACACGCATGCTTCCTGAGATACTACGAATATTTTCCAAACCGCAATTACAGCTATGTCAACAGGGTGTATAGAAAATGGCAAATGGAGTCATTATTATGATGTATGGAAAAGAGAAGATCATGACCTCTCTCGCTGGGAAACAGGAAGGCCAAAACAGGAAGTACCAATCCTGACTGGCCACTAGCCAGCCTTATTACACTGTCAGGAATGGCTGTGATTTCTTAAGAGCAGCAGCATACCTTCAAATGTCTCACTTGAGGTGAGCCAAAAGCATTCTTTTATTTGTATTATTAACCCTCATGTGCTCTTCGTTTCGGAGTCACACTTGTTATCTTCCCGGTCAAAAGTGACCGGACACCTAAAAATGAAACTTTCTCCATTCCAGTAAAACCAATGCAATTTATTTTTGTTCTACAATATTTATTCTTTTTAATTTAGTATTTTGAGACAATTTAATTGAATTTATTGATATTTATGCAACATTTATGGTTTATTTTTGCCATGGAAAAATATATATATATTTTTCTATATATATATGATTTTTTTCAACAAAAAAAAATGTAATGCAGTATTTTAGTTTAATATAGAGTCTAGGCCTTCAGAAAAAAAATATTTTTTGAAGAAAATTTAGCACCATCTGGTTACAGTATAGAGAAAAAGCATAGAATCATGGTGTAACCACTAGATGGCACGTACAGCTCTCTATGGAGAGGCATGTGAATTCCCCAGCTGTTTATGAACACATTTTTTTGTTGTTGTTGTTGTTGGTGGATTTGAATATATAGTAGAAACAATCTCAAAAACTATTTCTTATAAAAAAAAATTAACAAAAAACAAAAATTCACAATTTTTTTTTTTTTTTTTTTTTTTTTACAATTTCCCATTAATTTCCTATGGGGGTCATTTTTGACCAAAGACCACAAGTGTGACTATTTTTTTTACGACCACTTAGCATGCTCAGATCATGAACTCAATTTTTTTATGCCATAAAAGTCACGAAGTTTCGTAACATTGCGGTGAAGCTGTGATTTTTAAAAATTCAAAACATACTTTTTGTAATCAAAATTTATTGGTGTGTATGTATATAAAAGTGTGTTTGTATGTGTGTGTGTGTGTGTGTTGGTGGGTGTGTGTTTTGCACTCTAGATGTTGTAGAGTGTCACCCCTTTCCTGCAGTGTACTTTTTTTTAGAATTGTGGCCAATTTGTCGATACAAATTTTTTTTTGTCAATTTCCCATTCATTTCCTATGGGTCGGTCATTTTTGACAGAAGAGCAAAAGTGTGACTATTTTTTTACGACCACTTAGCCTGCTCGGATCATGACCTCAATTTTTTTGTGTGTTAACATACCCAATGTACGGAGCCCCTCTAGTCCCACTTTGGTAAAAAAAAATAATTATAACTATCTTGTGGCCACGAGTTACTATCTTGAGGCCACGAGTTACTATCTTGTGGCCACGAGTTACTATCTTGAGGCCACGAGTTACTATCTTGAGGCCACGAGTTATCTTGTGGCCACGAGTTAGTATCTTGTGGCCACGAGTTAGTATCTTGAGGCCACGAGTTACTATCTTGAGGCCACAAGATAGTTATAATTAATTTTTTTTACCAAAGTGGGACTAGAGGGGCTCCGTACCAATGCCATAAAAGTCACCAAGTTTCGTAACATTCCGATGAAGCTGTGATTTTTAACATTTCAAAAAAGAAAATTTTTCGGTCAGAAATGACCGAAGAGCACCTGAGGGTTAAAGGGTAACTAATCCCTAAACCAACTTTTTTTAGTTAATGATCTGTAAGAATGGGGTTTTATAGTGCTGATCATTGATCATTCGAGTAACTTTTTTGATATTTGGGTATAAAGTTCAAATATTGGCAGTGGGTGGAGTCAGGCTCTGACCAGGGGTTTAGTTACCCTTTAAAAAAGATTGACAAGTCCTGTTTTCTTTCCTGTGTTAATGCGTTTCCTGTTTCTGAATAAAACAGGAAGTTTGGACATATAGACGGACTCAACAGCAAAGGGATATTCTCTTTCTAAAGAACATCTGATTATGCCAAAATATTTAAAAAACGCGAATTTGTAAGTGTAGTGAAACTTCACATGACAATATGTTGTTAAATATACACTACTATTCAAAAGTTTTAAAAAAAGTGTTTTGTTTTTTTTAAACAAATACCTTTATTCCACAAGGGCACATTAAATTGATCAAGGCTTTTACATTAATTTTTAGATAAACTGTAACAAGGAAATGTTCATGAACAGAAAACCATATCTGAACGATTTATGAAGGATTATGTGACACTGAAGACTAGAGTAATGGAATAATTGATCACAGGAATAAATTACATTTTAACATTATAGAAAACATTTCACAATATGACAGTTTTTCCTGTATTTTTGAACAAATGGCCCCTTGGTGACTTTTGAACTGTAGTGTCCATATATCCACACAAAGAGAAATAAATAGTATTATAGTTATTAGATCCAATTGTTTGCACCCAAAAACAAAGCCTGATTTAAGCCATAGATGGATTTACCTGTCTGGGGACTTGCTGACTTTGCTCTTCTGTCCTCCACTATCTCCAGAGTGGTCAGGTGAACTGAGCTGCCGGCTCTCTCCACTCAGGCTCCCAGAGAAGTTGATCTCGTCATACAGGGGTGCAGATGGAACGCCGGGGGACCCGCCACCAAGACCGTTCAGAGCCTCCAGCAGGGAGATGGGCTCATAGCCAGGGGGAACGGAGTCTGAGCTCTGAGAGACGGGACAAAACAATGAGAGAGTTACACCATGTTGTCTTGTAGAGAGACAATACAGATATATACGTGACATACGGAGTGCTCATCATGGTCCATGCTCTGCGCCAGCACTGGGCTGAAGGAAACAGGAGAAAGCGCTCCAGGCTTCTTTCTTACAGCTCGGATCTGAAGAAGAGCACGAAACGCTGGAGAAAGACAAAAAGCTACTTCAGAGTCTCAAAATATATGAACATTTACATCTAGGCAGGCTTTCTGGGCTGTTACTCTCAAATTATACACAACCGCACTGTAGAAAATTATTTGATGGTTTAACTTAAAGTAACCTGATTGCCTTACATTTTTGAGTTTTCAATGAAAAAATGTTTTAGTTAATAACACAAAGAAAGAGATGTTCTTCTCTCTCCCTCTTTCTTTGTATTAAAATCGGACCTCACCACTGACAAAATGAGCTTCCACTAAAACACTAAAAAAAAATTGAGATTTTGTTTTTTTTAATTCGGTGCTGACTAGAGAAAAATAGTAGAAACTTCAACACTAGAGCCCGACCGATAAAGGATTTTGAAGGCCGATACCGATACAAATATATTAGGGTTTTAAAATCCGATATTCCGATATATCGGCCGATATTTTTTTTTTATTAAATATTGTTGGATTTCACACACGTGTAAAAGAAAAGCTAACTTTTCTGCACAAGATATGTTTGATACTTTTTCTCTATGTCTAAATGTTCACTCCTCTCAAGTATAACTTACATTTTACAATGCAGGGACGGTAACTAGAGATATGCTAGTTATAAATACAGTAATCATTACTTTATTTAGGCAGAAAAAGTTCATTGTGGTTTCCAAGCTCATTAATGTTAATGTTAGCGGTTATGATAGTGGCATTAGCTTGCTTTGTGGTTAGCTAGTCTATGATTAGCCATAATTTAGCAATAGATAACATCATACTGCAAATTGTAAAACATACATTTTCAATATAACAGGCCAAGGAGAGATGATTGAAGCGCGTTTCGTCCGTTTTTATTTTATTTTTTAAATATTCATTTATCGGCCATAATAACTGCCGATACCGATATTATGGAAAATGCCTAATATCTGCCGATAATATCGGCTGGCCGATATATCGGTCTGGCTCTATTCAACACCCAAAATGCACTGGGAATGTTGCCATCAAAGGCCACTCCCACTAGTCTGCTTTTCACGAAAGTCTTGAAACTGTCAAAAGTCCAGGGGACATTTGCTGCCAAATAAAGCATTTACATCTTACCGATATTGTTATTTCGCCAAGTTACAATTTACCTGAAATTTTTAGTTTCAATGAACTCAAAATTTGAAAGCAACCAGGTAACTACTTTAAGTTAAACCAACAAATGGATTTTTACAGTGTGTGGGACTGTTAACAACAGTTACATACGTAGTCGGCAGATCGGGCAATTGTTGGCCTGGTAGCGTAGAGTGTCGGCGCAGGAGTTACACAGACACAAGTGCCTGCAGGGCAGAATCAGAGTGTCCCGCAAATCCGAAAGACACACCACACACTCATTGCTGTTGTCACTGTTTTCATCATCAGATGGCTGGGGAGGAAATCATAACGACATTTTTCAATAATAATACTGACATATATAAATATATAGAAACTGTAATGAACAGCAACAATCATCTTTTCACCTTTGTCTCTTGATTGTTCTTGTTCTCAATTCCATAAATCTCCTGTAACAAGTAACTAACGCGATCCACCTGTAGTGTAAAAACGCATTATAAACATTACTATCTACATTTAAAAACAGGACAAAAGTGTACATCTTTAGGACTCACTATTTGTTTCTGCTTCAAAGGTTTCACTGAGAAACTGCCATCAACATGCTGGAAAAATGAAAAAAAAAAATATGTCAGAAATACACAACTACTACAAACAACCTCTTCAGAAATTATGAATAATATGACATCAAATTCAGCTCACTCTTTCGAACGCTGCCAGCAGTACATGTGCATGTCCCAAACAATCTGAAATAGACAGTTACCATTAAAAATGCACATACATGACAGCACTAAACAGACACACCAAGCTTGTCAACTATAAAGAAGTCATGACACATACCATCTCCTTCATCAACCACCGCCTGAATCACCATGGGGAAAACACCTCTGTCCAAATCAAAGTTGAGCTAAAAAAAAAAAAAAGTCAGGTCAAATACTTTACATTCAGGTCAGTCACTTTCATTTTATTGGATTTGCATGATCTTGTACTTCATTGCTTGTAAACTATTAATGCAAAGAGTCAAATCAATATCTTAGAGGCTAGTGTGGATTTGACCATCAGAGGAAATTGATTGACAGCACTAAACTAGACTGATGGTACTTACATCTTCTTCCTTCCATTCAGATAAATCAATCTTGAAGGCTGGCAGGGTAAACTGCTGGCTAACCCCTCTTTTGTAATACACAGTTTCAGAGACCAACGCAGGGGTTTTGGGGCTGTATCTTAAGAACAAATATATGCTGTTAGTGCACAAATATACCAACAAAATACTTTTTTCATATAACGCCATTTCAGAAAGTTCAAATTATAATAATTACATGACTCAACAACGTTTTTCACATTTAAATGCATTTTCTCTGTAGCTCAATTGGCTCCAATGACTTATTGCTGACTGAAATTATTGAATATAGCATTGAAAAAAAATAATCAAAATTAAAAAAAGACAAGCGTACAGAGGAATTACACTAAAGCCATTCAACAACAATTATTTAAAGGGTTAGTTCACCCAAAAATGAAAATTTTGTCATTATTTACTCTCCCTCCAAACCCATAAGACTTTCATTCATCTTCAGACTACAAATGAAGATATTTTTAATGAAATCTGAGATGTCTGTAACTCCATTGAAAGTCTATTCACGCAAAACTCTGAGAGGTCAAAATCATAAATCAAGCATGTAGAGTTAAGCTTCATATTTGAGTGCTTTATGTGTGTTCTCTGATCTGTTTATATGCTAATAACAGCCTAAATTAAATCTGTTCATCATATAAAATGAATGTGTCTCTTCAGAGGGCTTGGATTAAACCGCTCGATTTATTTTATGATCTCTTTATGGACGTTTTGAACCGTCACAGTTTTGGATAAATAGACTGTCAATGGAGGGACAGAGATCTCTAAAGTTTCATTAAAAATATCTTCATTTGTGTTTCAAAGATGAACTAAAGTCTTATGGGTTTGGAATCACATGAGGGTGAGCGATTAATGAACTGTCCATTTATTAACACACTAATACTTATAAATAATATGTACTTAAAGGGTTAGTTCACCCAAAAATGAAAATTCTGTCAGTATTTACTCACCCTCATGTTGTTCCAACCCCGTAAGACCTTCGTTCATCTTCGGAAAACGAATTAAGATATTTAAGATATTAAAATCGCTCCTGCATACAGTCCATAGGCTTCTTGAGGGACTGGCTCTTGCCGTCCCCGAAAAGTCATAAAAGACATCGTTAAAATAGTCCAAGTGACTACAGGGGCTCAATCTTAAGTTTATCAAACGACGAGAACACTTTTGTGCGCAAAAAACAACAAAAATAACGACTTTATTTCAACTATTCGTTTATTTTCCCTCTGCGCGAGTCAGGTTACTAGTTTAATAGCGTAAGCTTCTGTTATTGTACGTCACACGCATCACACACACATGACCAGCGTCGACCAATAGTGAGCCTACGTGTGACGTAGCTCTACGCAATCACACTACGCTAACGGACTATAGCTTATGGAGAAGGAAGTTAATAGTTGAAATAAAGTCGTTATTTTTGTTGTTTTTTTTGCGCACAAAAGTGTTCTCGTCGTTTGATAAATTAAGATTGAGCCCCTGTAGTCACTTGGACTATTTTAACGATGTCTTTAATGACTTTTCGAGGACAGCAAGAGCCAGTCCTCAAGAAGCCTATGGACTGTATGCAGGAGCGATTTTAATATCCTAAATATCTTAATTTGTGTTCCGAAGATGAACGAAGGTCTTACGGGGTTGGAACAACATGAGGGTGAGTAAATACTGACAGAATTTTCATTTTTGGGTGAACTAACCCTTTAATATTGTATAATTACTTGAACTGCAAAGGCATTTTTTTAAGAAACTATATCAAAGAATTGTTGCGAATATACTGTTTACTTAATACGAGAACACTGATTTACATGGATAATGGGAATTCACTCTCTCTATTTTCTAAATGCATGTTATAGATCTTATTGTAAACAATACATCCATGCATTTGTGTCTTTTTTAATAAAAGATTTTGACCTTGTAATGTTTAATCAAACATTAATCTGTTGTTTCCGACTTCTCTCTGGTGACGTATGCAGGACTTCTCCAATCATTTAGTCCGATAAACTCTCGTTCATCTGCCTCCACTTTTGCAAGCAACAGCCAATCGGATATACAGTACGTCACAATACATAATAAAAGATCGGTCACTACCTCTGTTTTATCGTGACTTTAAACATTTGTAACTGTACAACACAAGTCCTTACATTGCCATCCCATTGGAAAACTCCTCAAAAGCCTGGCAGTAGATGGTGATGGCCACTCGTGCATCCGAGTCAAAGGTGAACTCCACTCCATATAAGGCTCTTGGCTTTACTCCTTCATCAGTAGGAGTATCAGTATCATCTTTATACCTACAATCACACAAATTTACACAAACAATCAAGCACGTAAATCAATGACAGAATAAGTCACTACATGCAGCACTAACTGAGATCATTTGTTCATTTGGTCACTCATATTCCTGAATCAGTACCTGACCAATCGTAATGAGTCTTTTCTGATGTTGACGAGACTCCTCAAAGTCTTGACTGGCTCGTGGGGTGCTGGAGTAACATAGGGAAACTGTGGCAGGTACCAAAACAATACAGAAAGAAATCATTAATATATTTATAAGATGCTACAGTTACAACAAAAGCACTGCAAAATAAGACATTCAATATTCAGATAACAGAGGTTCTGATGGATTGCTTTTTCTGTACCTGGACTGGACGGTTACCAAGAAAGTTGAGATCCATGTTCTCCCCGAAAAGGTAACCCTCTGGATGAGGGGTGTCAAACTTCTCCCCTCCCATGAAAAAGTGGCTGGCAAAATAGTTTCCTTAGGAAAGGAAAATAGTAGTTAGCCAATGTGACACCTCTAACTAACCAGAATAACACCATAAATGAAGGCATCCTTTGCCATTTTGGAGAGCACTGATGTCTCATATCATTTTTTTGAACAAATAATTGAAATGGTTTGTTAACAGTAATGATTTGGCTAACTAATCAGATGATATTTAAGATTTTTATCCGTTTATTTGAGCTCAAGATATCAATCCATCGGAGATACGTGCTTATAAAACATGAGCAGATAAAAGCCACCTTGTATCAACCTTACCTGATTTTGGAGGATATCTGTAGGCAGAATTAGCCTGGATGTCGATGTCCTCAACACCAGCGATTCTTCGACTAAGAATTGAACCCATTTTTCCAACACAGCCCGGTCAGAACAAATAATAGGCAGTTGTTAAAGTGTACACAACGGCTGCTAAAGTCAGCTAGCTAACGTTAGCCGGGTATTAACAGCAACCGCTCCGAACCGACCGAAGTGTTTAAATTAACATGACACGAGTTTGATCGACATGTCTTTTCTTCTGAGTCGGATCAGATGTGTCTCGTACAGTCGTATTATGTGACGTACAGTGCAGTCAGCTGGATCAGTCTTGACACTTGACTTGGCTAACGGACTAGCAAGATAACGCCTAGCTAGTCAGTTCGCCTGTCACGAGCGGATAGCCAATACAACAAGATGTGAACGGGTACATCAACAAACAAAGGTAAATTCTGAGAGGCAAGAAAAAAGACCGTTTGGTGTTTCCTCGAAATAATAGCAGCTTCTTCGTGAAAATACAAAACAAGGAAATCCGAGATCGTTGTTGCGAGGCGATCCCGCGAGCGTTGTAGCGTATCGCCACGTGATTGGCTGAATTCGTCACGAGAAATGAACACTCGTCCAATCACAAGCTTCGCTGGCCATGAGAAGTCTGTTTTCATCTAGTCGAGAGAACACACGCTTTGTTTATCTCACACTGGCATAGAAGATCATATATATTTGGTAACCGTAAAATAACTGCAATATCTATTTATATATCTATACAAATCTACAAATATTTATATGATCTGAATTGTTCAGTGGTCAAAATATAATTTAATCTCACTTGTTATTATCAATGAATAAAAAAGTAATAGTATTATTATTAAATAGTATTATTATACACTACCGGTCAAAAGTTGTGAAACAAGGTTTTTTAAAATGTTTTTGAAAAAAGTCTCTTAATCTTATTAAATATTTTAGTAAAAAAAAAAAATACAGTAAAACTGTAATACTGTGAAATGTTATTACAATTTAAAATAGGCGTAACAGTTTTCTGTTTGAATATATTTTAAAATGTAATTTATGATTAAAGTTGAATTTTCAACCTCATAAATCCAGTCTTTAGTGTCACATGATCCTTTGGAAATCATTCTATGATCATTTCTTACTATGATCAATGTTGAAAACATTTTTGTTTGTTTGTTTGTTTGTTTGTTTGTTTGTTTGTTTGTTTGTTTGTTTGTTTAAAAAAATCATGCCATTCAAAAGTTTTGGGTAAGTTAAAAAAGAAAGATAGATAGAAAGAAATCAATACTTTTGTTTAGCTAAGGGACTTTTAATTGATAAAAGACAGTAAAGACGTTTATGAAATGAATAAATATTACAAAATGTTATATTTATAATTAATGTATTATAATAATAAATGCATTTATAATAAATGTTCTTTTGAACTTTCTATCCTGAACAAAAAAAAAAAAAAAACACATCAGTTTCCACAAAAAAAAAAAATGTAAGCAGCACAACTGTGTTTAATATTATTAATAAGAAGAAATGTCTCTTTAGCAGTAAATCAGCGTATTAGAATGATTTCTGAAGGATCATGTGACACTGAAGACTGGAGTAATGATGCTGAAAATTCTGCTGTAACATCACAAAAATACATAAAATTTTTAAAATATATTACAACAGAAACTAGTTAATTATAATAATATATCACAGTATTATTTGTACTGTATTTTTGATCAAATAAACGCAGTCTTGTGATTATTAGACTACTTTCAAAACCATTTTCCAAACTTTTCGGTAGTATTATAAATAATTATTATGATGTTTGCCTGACCCAAACTGGCTGTAATACAATTCACCAAAAAATTACACTATGAGAAATAGTAAATAGTAACCATTGCAAACAGCAAAACAGTAGCTATATTATAACAAAATAATGACTTTACAAAAACGCATTACAAAATTAAAACATTTTTAACGTTTTCTAATTGTATTTAATATTATAACTTTTTCAAATGCTAGTTTATGTTTGTGCTTTTGGAAACTGAACTTACAATGTCAACATATGCTAATTATTTTCCATTTAAGGCTCATTTTGAAGGCAGAAATATGTACTTCCTGCAAATAACTGTTGGTAAATATAATCTAAATGTATCTAACGTTTTGGTACAACACAGGATGAAAGTGACAAATATGGGGGTGGAAACTTAATGTAATGTGCGTTTGTAAGAGCTTGTTGTTAGTTCATCGAGCTATCCTTTGCATACTTGCCTACAAATCCCAGAGTTCATCTCACCTTGCGCTCACTGTAGTTGTCCGACAGGGGCCGCTAAGTGAGACGCTTCAACTCACAACATTTTCTGTTTCTAGCCGACAAGTTGATGTCCGAGTGCGGCGTTTTTAAAAGACTGCAAGCTGTAACTTTGAACGGACGAAATAACACAGCTTTCTTAACTCAATATGGACGAACTAAGGCATCAAGTTATGATAAATCAGTTTGTTCTTACAGCCGGATGTGCGGCAGATCAAGCAAAACAGCTTCTACAAGCTTCACATTGGCAGTTTGAGGTATGTTTGTTTGGTGGGCAAATAACAGAAAACTTTATGGAATGTTGCACTGTAATATCTATACAAATCACTATAATTAACCAATCATTTATTTGACGTTTAGTTAGTTTAAACAATACGAGACACGCTCATTGCAACAGACAGCAAAACAAGCCAACAAATGTGACAATCAAATACTTTATAAAGTATTTTAAATGGGATAAATCGTTGGCTTCAGCGAAATAAATATCTATAAATTTAAATGTATGTTCAAAGCCCTATAGGCTATAATACACATTTGCTTGTTTTCTCACGTGATTGTGAATGATTGATAACTGTTTTATGATGTTGCAGACTGCACTCAGTACTTTTTTCCAAGAGGCTAATATTCCTTACAGCCATCAAATGGTGAGTATATATATATATATTATTATTTTTTTTTTTCGTTTTTTGTTATTGTGTTGATGGTTTTTAATATCTGTTATGATGACTTCCGCCATGTTGAAACCACGAGTCAGACAAAAATAAACACAGGCTGGCATGTTTTCTCGCGAGGGCTACACTTATGTCGTTTAAAACTCACAACTTTGTTTTTTAAGCGCATATAGTCTCCCTTAGGTTTAAAATTAAATAGTTACATATTTAAGATCATAAAATAATCTGGACTTTTGGGAGTTGCGATTTTGTAAACGTGTCCAATTTTGTGGGGGAGGGCGATTCCAGGAAACGGAGAGAGCACGCGCTTGACACTGCGCTGTTTACACCGTTACTATAACAATGAAAAGAACGTTGCGTTAGGAACGCGCGGTGTTCAAACCAACACTGGCTTCAAAAAACACATTTTATTAATTTCTAACAAGTAAGTTATCTTTAAATTAAATGAATTTGTTTGGAATTACTCAGAAGTAGACTGTAACTTAGTACTACCGGTCACATGCAAAGAGAATCAAAGTTAGTTAACCCTTGGTGAGCACCTAAACCTTTGTCTCTTACTTTCAAGTGCCCTTAAAATATTTGCCATTTAAAATGGTTTACTCTAACATTAGATACAATTAAATATTATGATGTACGGCCACATGAGATTATAGACTAATCAGAAAAGTCTGTTTTATTATACAGATCGGGTCGCACCCTTATGGGCGCTGCCATGGTGACGTCACCGGTCTCATACATGATGCAGTTGGCGACGTTTATAATTACTAACAGCAAAATAATAATGCATTTGCCTCACATACAACTCTCAATGTGCTTTACAGTGTGTACATGTGAAAGTACATTTAAACAAATAAACCAAAAGATATGACAATGAGGAGGGAAAAAAAAACAATCAAATCAGATTCTGGTTATAGTGAAAACTAAGGCGAAAGGGAATGTTGTGCAATATCAGTTTTGGTGAACATGGGCATGTTTCTGTTTGCTTAAAATGTTTGGGTCCCCAAGGCTGCAAGTAGACAGATGAATTATGAATGACAGTATTGTTTGAGTGAGCAATTCATAAATAGCCGTTACACATATACAGGTTTCAGTTTAACCCCTTAACGCCTGAATTTATATAGCTGTATAGAAAAAAATGTTTTATGTGTGTTTTTGCCTTTAAGTAGATGATAAATAATGTTGAGATTATCAATTTCACTTTTGCACAACAAATAAATCGAAATTATTCTTTAAATTCTCAGCTTCCACAAAACTGTTTTTAACATTGATAACAATAATATATGTTTCTTGAGAATCAAATTATCATATTAAGAGTGATTTCTGAAGGATCATGTGACACTGAAGACTGGAGAAATGATGCTGAAAATTCAGCTTTGACATCACAAAAATACATTACATTTTAAAATATATTACAATAGAAAGCGGTTATTTTAAATGTTTATATGATGTTTCACAATATTACTATTTTTATATCAAATAGATGAAGCCTGAGACTTCATATATATATATATATAAATATTTTTATTTAGTTTCTCATCACACCACAATTTCTTTCTTCTAACATAATACAATAATTTAAATGCAAATTAATACGATTTATTTGGCAAGTAGTCAGTCATGTAGTGGAATAAAACAGTCAGTTGATCATTAACGCAAACATTTTTATTAAAAAAAAAATTTTATTAGTACACTCAGCAGATCTGAGGGTTTTCAAAAACAAATATGTATTGATATACAAATATTACATGATTTTGCCAGTTGTGGATGTAAAACTGAATTGAATTGAGCGGTATGGGAGATCAGTTGTGGTGGAACAGCATATTCCTATGGTGGTTTTGGTTTTAGTTTCTGCATACCTACACCAGTTTATGGTCATTCAAAAGTTCCTACGTCTGACAAACATTTTCCAGCTTGATTTTCTTCTTAACGCTGGCCTCTAAAAGACTAAACGTTGCTATAGTAGCATTTGTGTCAGTGCGTCAGGTCTGGTGTTTATTCAGGCAAGGTAGCCAATCATTATTACAGTAAATCAACTCCAAAGTCTACAACCTCGGTCACTCACCACAACATTTCTATTTCCGAGACTTCCTCAATTCTAAGAAAATGATTTCCATTCTGAGGACAAAGCTGTAAAAACCTACTTTATGACACTGACCCCTGTGTGTCGAATGCTGCATTGACCGTACCAGTTTTAAAGTTCGCATGATATCAGAATTGCGTTGGTCATTATACATGGTTCTGTCTTTGTCTCCAGATGTGCACTCCAGCCAACACACCAGCGACACCCCCCAACTTCCCAGATGCCCTAGCCATGTTTTCTCATCTCAAAGCCTCGGAGAGCTTCAGCAACAGCAGTCCCATCTCTCCTATGGCAACATCACCAGCTCCTCACACCAACTGGGCCATGAGCCCTCCGGCGACCCCTGGCCTGCCGGGCCGATGGACTCCGGGTCAGCTCGTGCCGCAGACGGTCTCTCCAAGCTGGCCCGCAGCTGTGACTCAGCAAGCCTCCGCTGAGCATACTATTATTGTCATGGAGGCAGAGCGATAAGAGACTGCTTTAACTAGCCATCACACCATACAGGAAGAGGAGGATGGACCTTCCTCTGGAGGATTTCGGCAGTTGTGGATGTAAAACTGAATTGAAGTGAGCGGTATGGGAGATCGGTTGTGGTGGAACAGCATGTGTCGTCCTCTCTGAGGTCACTGGAGATCTGGGACTCTTTTACAAAAGCTTTTTTTGGCCAAAAAGATGGACAGAAAGAGCAATTATGTAGCATATTCACCTCAGACAAATGAATGTGTTATTAAATATTGTTGATTTCAGCAGTTCTCAAGTAATAGTGAATACTCTGTTTGCACTGTTTACTCAGCCTGCAGTGGATCTACAGTTCAAGGGATTGTCACTCGCTGTCGTGTCATTCCAAACCTGTATGACTTTGTTAAATCGGACACCATTGACTTGCTTTTTATGGACAAAAAGAGTTGAAATGTTCGCCAAAGTATCTTCTTTTATGATCGACAGATGATAACGATAAAAATATCGTTTAAAAAATACAAAGAAAATATCGTTGGAATCGCTTAAAAATACAAACAAAAAAAACATTGTTGGAATCACTTTCACAATGCTAATTTCCAGTTGATGAATGATTAAAACATTGACAGCCAATCAGAATCCAGTCTGCTCGAGCTTGAGCATTTAAAGCATCAGACGGCAAAACTGCAGCGCACGCTTAGAATAAACAGAGCGATATCATCCGCTGGCGTGGACGCTAATATAGCTTATCCATTCTTGACGTAAACGGGCCTTTAGAATGAAAAGTTAGTGATGACAGAATGTTTATTTTTGAGTGGACTGTCCCTTTAATTGACCGGTTTACTGCAGCCAATCATGTGATATTATTATTGACTGACTTATGACTCTGTGGTGAATTGAATTGGCATTTTGTATAATAAATAATGCAATAGGAAGCGTTTCATACCCAGAATGTTAGTCTCTGGTTCTACTCGGCACTTACAAGCACATTTGTCTGTTTTATCATGAACCTCTATTTTGATATATAAAACGAGATTATATTCCTCCTATTTCTTCCTGTAACTGTGTTCACACTGCCTCCACAATATTTGTGGACTGTGATGGTTATTTCCTTTTTTTTTTTTTTTTGAGTGTGTGTGTGTGTGTGTGTTTTTAAATAAATATTGTATATATTGCAAAACATTGAAAAACATGTACGTCTGATTTTCTGGTCTGTTGTCCTTATGGTGTAATTGGGGTCACTTCATGTATGACCTTTGTATCCTTTTATACCATGGTAAATTATTACACAGACCCAGCGGTAACTTTATTTCAGCAAACAATTAATCCGATTCAATTTCCATATAGTGACCATAATCACATTTGATTTTGAGCTCACATTTTATACCTTTCTCGCATTTAATTTCATGCAATATGCTTAGTTGGTCAATATACAAGACATGGGTAATATCAAATACGTGATGAATATACAAAATAATTCACAGAGATCCCAAAGTCAAGGAAAACCAGTGTGTGATTTACAGATCTGGAAAAACAAAGAAATTCATATGAGCGAAAAAAGTCCTTGTGAATGCATATAATGCATCTCTATAAAATTGTCACCTTGACGTTGTCTACATGATGATTGCGCAATGAATAAATGTACATCCACTGGGGGAAAAAATCTTTTCTTAATCTGTATTTTTGTCTTCTTGTTTCCAGACAAAATATCAACTAATTCTTAAATCAAGAAGCATTTTCTAAGAAAAATGACAAGCTATTTAGTCGTGTTACACAACTTTATTAACATCATACACATTCATACAGTTTTAGAGTCATAGCCTACAGTAATTTAAGCACATCAGGTGTAGTCAGTTTGAAATAGTGAAATAAATTAGTGAAATAAATAAACACGTTCCCCATTATGGGAAGACCACAAAGTAAGTACAATCTTGGTGGCGCAGTTTGTGTTCACAATTGTGTATCCTACATTCACACGATAAGTGAATTGTCTTGTCAGTATTAAGCAATCAATCCTGGTGTGTTGACCACTGTAAGGTGATAAGAAGTACAACATAAATATGCTCCAAAATTTACAATTATGCTCTAATATTTCCAATGCTCTCAAGAACTACTAGAGAAAAAAGTGCATTTAAATCAAATTTCACCTTCAGCAAATTTCAGTGATACCTACAGTAGAAGTCTGAGTTACAAGTACGTGTCATCACGTGTAAATTGAAGTATTTCTTCAGTATACTATTCCTATATATAGTGCAGCTCTACCCCACTCAAAGTGTTATTTCAATACATTTTTATAGACGTAAAATGTGTTTTAATGACACTATTTGTATAACTTATAATAGTATAACTAAATGTAGTATAACTTAAGTTAACTTGAGTCTAGTCCGAGACTAAAGTGCAAGTTTGAGCTGTTGAAAGACACTTGCACTGAAATATCTTAATATATGTCAGTGCCATTGTTTTGTCTCAGAATGCACACCGGTAATGTTTTTTATAGGGTAGGTTTATAAAAGCTATTATATGCCCTAATTAAAATACGGCCTAATCCTGGCTTAATCTATAGGTGCTTCAGGAGACTTACGTTTATTGAATAAAGGTCCGATTTTACAGACAGGGCTTAGATTAAGCCATAGGCCTTAGTACAATTAGGATATTTAGGTAGCTTTTATAAACATGGATTAGAAAACAACATAATGCTGTTCATCTTGAGACAAAACAATGGCACTGAAATATGTCAGTGAAAGTTACTTTGAGTTAAAACCGGTTCAAACGTGCATTTAAGTCTGGGACTAGTGTGAAACCGAGGGAATGTGTGCTTAAAGGTACAATATGTGAGAATTTTGTAATAAAATATCCAAAAATCACTGCACAGTGTGATATATTTCCTGCAGTTGTGTACTTAAAAAAAACTTTGGAGACTTAATGCTAGTTTCGTATAGCAAACAAACTAACACGTAGTATAACATTAAACTTTCAACACACATTTAAATGCCGTTTAGTGTGATAGTGTAACTGTTACAGCAAGTGAAGCAGCGCTACGTTACCTCAAGTTTAATTTGTCTAATAAACTGGCCTGTGTGAGTAATCCAGCAATTGTAGTTCGGTAGAATCAAATTTCCTTATTCCTTTATATCCGCGGGACTCGCGTGTGATATCTGTCTCTTTAGCAATCACAACCTGCTTCATAACACTGCAAAGATGTGAATGTGTGCACTCATCCATAAACATTATTAGATCCATCAGCTTGACAGCAAGTCCTATCATTCAGCTCATCACTGGGTCTTCAACCTACGCCTTTGTTGGAAACTGCGCCCTCTTGTGGCGAAAAAAAATCTTACATATTGAGCCTTTATCCAATCCATAAGTTGAAAGTCCATCAAATGACAGCATTCGAGGAAGTCCTGTGTTTGTATATCACATAAGAGACGATTGACCCCACTGCCACTATCGCAGCCACGACCAATAAAATAATAAGCCAGACTGGGGTTCCGCCTGTACGAGAAATTACATGATTTTAGAAACAGATGAATCCATCAACAGTTTTCCATCAAAATTCCTCATTTTGTGTTAGATGCCTACATGCAGCATTGGTCTCGTTTTGTTATTTGTTTCGTTTTAGTTTTGCAGTGAGGTTTTACAACCGAGTGCTGAGGGAAGTTATACGAGTTAAACTTCAGTATGAATGAATTCTATGAATGTGTATCTGAAGGGAACAGACTGCCTTGAGAAAAATTGATGGCATTTTCTTTTCATCTTCCTGGTTTATAAGCGTGCTGCTTTGTTAACAGAAATTATAGACGTAACAGCTCTATTTCTGCTGCTGAATAAGCCCCAGAACCTACTGACAGAGACTGGATTTGTGAAACTCAAAGTCTGTCCTTTGTGGAATGCAAAGGCTCCCAGGATGATAAAGGTTCTTCATGCAAACACACTGACAGGTCACATGACATGCCAGAGGCGGCTCCTGCGACCCAGCTGAAGATTGACCCCCTACTGGCATATTTAGACCAAACGCGGAAACAAGTTAGCATTTAAACAATTCTAGTTTCATCGTCCCAAAACCAATGGGTTTTTAAAATTGGTTGTTGCTGGTTAAATGTATAAAAATATCTGTGTTTATCATATAATTTCAATAATTAAGCTCAAGATCATTTAAAAAAATCAAAATCAATTAAACCCTCTTGTAATTTTTTTAAGCTTTTGCTTGTCTTGGAAAAAGCGATTGCTAACAGGTGGTGAAATTGGACTCCAGACATTGTCGGGATATTAAACAATTACACCAAACAACTTAAACTCGTCAATTCACTATGGTCTGCTTATACAGCCTACCTGTGTCACAAATTATTGCAAACTATTATAACTTATAGTTAATTTGTGAAGATTTTGATGAACAAAGAATGTAAGGATCATATTTTGTTTTATTTTTATATTTTGTTATATTACGTTTTTATTGATGGAGCCAGAGTGATGCTAACATCCGGGTAGGAAATCAGTAATGGTAACTTTAAATTAGTGTTTTAACTATTCATTATTGTTTATTCAGAACTGACCTGTAGATGTGAGGATGAACACTTTGCTGTCACTTCCCTGAGAGTTTGAGGCGATGCACGTGTAGTTTCCTGAACTGAGCGTGGAGGACTGAAGCACTGAGGACGTGATCGTCTCTTTCAGATGATCTGACTGCCATGAGTACGTGGGAGCCGGGTTTGCCTTCACTGTACAGTTTAGCGTGAGCTCACCCTTTATATTGAGGGTTTCTGTTGAACTGGAGTGTTTTGGTTTATCTGAGGAGGACAGAGGAACATTTTAATTTATATTATTGTTGTTAATTAATTCATTTAAGTAAATTAATAGACTGTTAATTCACTTTATATAATGAATAATTCTTAACACTAGGATGCCCTTCCGAAATATAAATGAATAAAATTGGCAAGATTTGCAATAAATAAACCTACAGAAAACTTCAACATTGAGTGTTTTTGACGGGGCTGTTGGAGGAGGTTGAGGTCTCTCTTCTCCCAGTTCCAGCTTTGCTTCACACCAGTACTGATCTCCATCATCAGCTCTGTCTGGACGGATCAGGAGTTTAGATGTTTTACTGACTGGAGTCTTGATGGTGTCAGTGAAGTTGGTTTGATCCAGCAGAGTCTGTCCTTTGTACCAGTTGATAATGAGATTCTGAACAGGAGCCACATTGAGAACGTCACACTGGAGCTCATACTGGTTTCCCTCCATCATTGGTCCGTTGTAATTCACAGTGCTGATGGACACACTGTCTGGAGTCTCTGTGGAGGAAGATTTACACTCTCTGATATCTGCAGTCATCAATGTACAGTAGATATTGCTGAGAATATAAAAGTATCAATAACAGAGAAACTCACTGTAAATAGTCACTGGGAGAGGTACTACACACTGTTCCTTATAGTTTATGAAGCACATTGGCTCTATGTCCCATTCTGTCAGGTTTGACACTCTCCATGTGATCAGACTGTCTCCGCTCATGGGCACTGCTCCCTCACTGGCTTCCCATCCCAATCCTGTATGCGGGACAGAAGTGCTGCAGTCGGCTGAAACAGAATGGCCGAACTCCACAATAACTCTCTCTGGGTTGAGCTGAAGAGGACATTCAGCAGCATGTGTACCTGTTAAACACAGTGAAGAATTCAGAATAATGGCATACATAATGGCAGGTATCATTTACTTGATAGTCTAAACATATAAGCAACTATCACATGTTAACTGGTTGATAATATGACTGGTCAGGATCTGGTATTTTATAGTGTTTATTGACCAACTATGCAAGACAAAGCTATTGTAGAAGACAATCAATCTATAACTGTTTAAATACAAACAAGCAAATCAATTCTTATCATTTTGACATTAAAAGCTTAAGTATTGCATTGTCATTTTGAATACATTTCAAATTGAATATTGCTACCCATATGCTTCCGTTGCACCCCCTGAGCCTGTATACAAATCCAAATTTGCTAGCTCTAAAAATAGGCTGCTGTGTAACGTCACTCAAGCACAGTACCCTACAGTATTGAATTAACTTTCAAATTCAAACAGGTCAACAACTTGAACACATATAAGTCGACAGCGACGTTCGGAAACATGTAGCCTAAATTCAAAATGATACAAGTTTTCACTTTATCGGTAGAATAAAAAAAGGAATCAATACAAACCCGTGAGAGTCACAAACAATAAAACTGCAAAGAGATAAACAAGTCCAAAGAAATATTGCAGCATATTAAAAGTGTTCAAGAAAACCGTCGACCGGACAAGGAAGGCGCGGTTAAAAGGCTGGTGGATAATAGCTATCGTCGCCCGAGATGATTTCCTCCTCCTCAAGCAAAAGGCTACGACAGAAACTAAACACCGCAGATCACAACTGGATATGTTTTTCCATAGAAGCAACTATAGAAACGAAACCATTCATAACACAGCTCAGAACACAGAGGCTATCGCGAAAGAAAGAATAAAGAATAATGCACTGTTCTCGAGTAGAAATCTAGGAAATGAGCACACGTATGCCGAGCACTTGAAGTCAGTAGCACCCAGTAGCACGTCACTGCAGTAGTACAGACAGGGCAGGGGGCGGAGTGATGAAGTAAAAGAGTGGCATAGTAAAAGAGTAGGCAGATGTGAATGGGCTATATGCACGCATAAGTTCCGCATTTGACGTAAGGATGCTCGTCCATTTCCGGTTGTGTAGATTAAAGCGGAGGAAAACCGGAGAAAACGGGATTATGGCAGAGTCTTTACTGTCCTCCCATCTTTGAAACGAAACGTACATACGTTTAGATGTAATTTTATATATAGTTATGTTTATTTAATATAATTTTAAAAAGAAGCATAAACACAACGAGGGGTGTCTGTTTTATCTGTTTTTGTGACTAACGTTTCATTAGTATAACCATGGAGTATAAAATTCAATATAAATTCTCGGTATTGCATTGGACTCTATGATCGGCGGAAGTTATCGAGCATCCTTAATCCTTTACCGGAAATAACGCCGTGCATAGAGCCCATTTGAGAACTTGTACAATAAATACGTGACATTTACATTTACACTCGCAGCTCCAATGTGAAAACCTGTAAAATAAAAATCTGAAGTTGAATGTTGAAATTTGCACTCGCAGACGATATGTGTAAAATGTCTGAAGTCTTGATATGTAATTTAGCTATTAAACGGTTAATTGTTTTGGCTTCAAAAACATTTGATTTATAGATATATTTGTGTATTCATCTGGGGCAACTCAAAATATTTAGTTAGCACATTTTCTTGCTTCATCACACTGTTTCTCTTATAGATCACGATGAAACTTGATGGCCCAGAAAGTCATTGAAGAAAATATTTAAATATTCCATGTGACTACAGTGGCTCGCTCAGCTATAAGTTTATCAAGCGACGAGAATACTTTTTGTGCGAAAAAACAAACAAACAAAAATAACGACTTTATTCGACTATTCCTTTTCTTCCTTCTGGGCCTGAGACGAGAGTTCAAGAGATTTCCACGACTCATGCGCGAGAACTGAACTAGAAGGAGTAGAAGAAGATTGCAGTTCTTGCGCATGAGTCGTAGAAATTTCTTGAACTCTCGTCTCAGGGCCACAAGGAAGAAAAGGAATAGTCAAATAAAGTAGTTGTTTTCTGCACAAAAAGTATTCTCGTCGCTTGATAAACTTGAGCCACATGGAATATTTAAACATTTTCTTCATTGACTTTCTGGGCTGTCAAGTTTCAGTCCCTTAGGAGCCTATGTAGCAGTGATCCACCTCTCAAATTTAATCAAAAATATCTTCATTTGTGTTCCGAAGACGAACGAAGGTCTTACGGGGTTGGTACAGCATGGGGGTGAGTAATTAATGACTTAATTTTTACTTTTGGGTAAACTAACCTGACGGAGCCTGATTTCAAGCTTAGCATAACTTTGCTCTTTTATAAGTGCTCTCTTTTTTTTCCATTAAATTAGGGCGGGAGAAAACAAGGATATTGCAACTGATTCAAATATGAGTCAAGGGCATCCATGAAGCAGAAGCATAAAACATGCTTTTAAACAAATAAAAACCACCCCCAAAAAATAAAATGTAGGCTATATAAAAACAGTCAAAGTTTCTGAACTGGTTTGGGCTTAATGATATCCTGACTGGGATCAATCCACAGGGAAAGTTTTAACCAGAAAAATAAATAAATATTAAATGAGGTAGGCTTTTTAATTAATTTTAAAAAATCTATGTAAATACTGCTATAAACAAATAACAAATATAAAAGAATATGTTAGTGGGGCTTCAAAAAATTAATAGTCAAATATGTACTATTGTGTTAACATTTTATTGACTAAAAATGCATTATAACACGTTCATCACGAAGACGATTTCGAGCTAGCAGGTTGTAGCGTCGCGTCAGTTCATTTCCCTTGAATCCCAGCGTCCATTGACTTCAATGGGGCTGCTTTGAACAGTTTTTGTTCAGTGCTTCAAAAGTAGAAGTTCATTGGATAAATGCTGCGATCATGTCCAGCTCACAGGCGTCGGCTAGACATTCACCCCAGACAGGGGCGTAGCACCAAATTCTGGGCCCTGTACACTCTCAATGTCAATGGGCCCCCTACACATGGCATTTTACGATGCGGGTTAGCAAAGTGAAAATTCAATTTTGAATGAAATGTATTTTTTTAATTATTTGAATATAAACAAATATAAACAGTGTTTAAATAATAAAATCAGATTATAGTAATGACTGGTTCTTTCATTCACCACCCGAATTGATGCATTTGGCCTACTTGTGCTCAAATACCTTTAAACCTTAGGCTACATCGGTTTTGTGTACTAACATTTTGATCCATGATACTGATGCAAGTTTTAAATGAAAAACATTTATTTTTAAATAGGAGAACACAAGAACACGAGAGACAACTGTACCCTCAGAAACCAGGTTAAACTGATGCTACCAACTTTCTCAGTTGGTCGTACCAGCATTTGATTTCGTCGCGGTTATTTTTTTATTTTTTTTGCTACATGCCATGGGATTAATCAATGCATGCCGATGAATAGTGGTTTTAATGGACCAAAGCCAGCAAAGGCTTACCATAAATACCTGTAATATATTAATTATCATTGCCAAATTTCAGGATTTTCATGGATTTTGGACAGTAATTTTAATCTGTAATTTTAAGAATTTTACATTTGAATTACATTCAATCTATCTATTTACATTTGAATCATAATCTTCTGTGTCTGTCATTTTTCTATTAGCATCATATTTCTATCTTTTAAAAATCATTAAAAATTCAAATGTACGTTACATTTTAAAAGATTAGAGTATTACAACAAGCTAAAACAGATTTTTCGTTATCAAATTTTATAAGTTAGTTCAAAAATCAGAAATCTCACACTCCTTACCTCCTGCATATAATTTGTTTCCTGAGACATTTTAATTTTTATATTTTTATTCATGAATTCGTAATTGGCGTGTTCCACCATCAGTGTGCAATGCGCGCGTGACGTCTATGTGTCTTGCGGAAGAACACTGTTGCCGGAGCTACTTCTCTCCATAATGTCTATGGCGAGTCACGCAGTCACTGGGCAACTTCGCATCCGAGTCAACCCCGGGAATCCGGGATAAAAAAATAGTCCGAATATAAACACTTATAACAGGCGTAGTGATTCAGGATAAGTCAAAAACACGGTTTGGAAAATGGATTCATGATGTAGCCTACTCGTTCGTTTTGAACATAAGTTACGGACTGCAGTCTGCAGCAGCTGATACAACGGTCGGTGTTCTTTTGCGCGAGCGTCCACTCGTATATATGCGACGCGACCACATCACATACAATTTTAACTCGCACAATCAAATTCTCAAAAAAATGGTCGCATATGAGACCAATTTGGTCGCAGTCTGGAACCCTGCATTAGCAGCAGCTGTCTGGAGTTGACTAAGTTACGTTAACTTTAATTGGATGTAACGTTAGGTGCATATAGCAAACTCAGTTCACCTTTTGAGAAGAAAGCAGTCATCAGCTGCTTCCCCGCATTCTGCCTCCCATCTTTTTCTTTCCTCTTTTTCTTTTTTTTAAAGCCCGATTTGGGCTTTTTGCACAGCATGATCAGATCAGGCTCCCGTTACAGGCTCTAGACTCACTGCGTTATTACTTGTTTGCCGCCCGCTGCGTCTATGGGCGGTCGACGCGTTGCGGACTAAACCATTTGGAAGGGGGTCCAGAGTGTCTGGCACTGAGTTCATTTTGGTCAATATTTTTTTTTAAATTATTATTAATGACATCAATTGGAGGGCCCAATTAATTCTAATTAGGTTTAAATTTTTTTTTTTTTAAATTGGTGGGATTTCAAAGGGCCCTCTCCCTAGACGGGGCCCTGGGTAGTCAGGTCCACTTTTCCCCCCACTACCACGCCCCTGACCCCAGATGACATAGTTTTGAATACTTTTTAAATGGTCAGGCTAATCTTCGCTGGTCAGCCTGGCTGGTCTTGGCTGGTCTTGGCTGATCTTGGCTGGTCAGCCTGATCTTGGCTGGTCTTGGCTGATCTTGGCTGGTCAGGCTGGTCTTGGCTGGTTTTGGCTGGTCAGGCTGGTCTTGGCTGGTCTTAGCTGGTCTTGGCTGGTCAGGCTGGTCAGGCTGGTCTTGGCTGGTCAGGCTGATCTTGGCTGGTTTTGGCTGGTCAGGCTGGTCTTAGCTGGTCTTGGCTGGTCAGGCTGGTCTTGGCTGGTCAGGCTGGTCTTGGCTGGTCAGGCTGGTCTTGGCTGGTTTTGGCTGGTCAGGCTGGTCTTGGTTGTTCTTAGCTGGTCTTGGCAGGTCAGGCTGGTCTTGGCTGGTCAGGCTGGTCTTGGCTGGTCTTAGCTGGTCTTGATGGTCAGGCTGGTTTTGGCTGGTCAGGCTGGTCTTGGCTGGTCTTAGCTGGTCTTGGCTGGTCAGGTTTTGGCTGGTCAGGCTTGTCTTAGCTGGTCAGGCCTGATCTTAGCTGTAGGTACTCTAAAGTGAACAAGGATCGCTGTATTGTTGCTAGCTATTTGGAAGACTTGCTCTTGAAGGATGAATTGTTAAGGTTTACAATTTATGTACAAATGATGTGTGGTTTGCTTGTGTTTTGTGAAGGGGACTCTATATCATTTGTTTGGTGAATATCATTAAATAATTTTTGTATGACTGTTTTCTTTCTCCATTCGAGGAGGGAGGACAAGGGTTGGTGTCTCTAGCAAGTAGATACGCAACATTACGAGTACAGTTCATCCAGAAGTTTCTAACAGGCTCAGTGGATGTGGTGGATGTGGTAAACATTCTTCACAGAGTGGATGGACTTGGACTAGATACTGCTTCGTTCCTCACGGATACTAAAAAGTTACATTTGAGGGGACTATTTTACCTTGGCTTGTTCAAAGTTGGGGATCTTTCATAATTAAAAGACCAGAAAATGCAAACTCTCTGTTCTGGTTGTTGGAGAAGCCTATAGACAAGAGGGCCCATTTGGACATAACAGATCATGTGCCGAATCTTTCTCAGAGACTGTGTGACACATAGACGGTAAAAATGAGTCATATAGCCTAATTGAAGTGGTCGGATCTGAACTAAAGGACGTTATGGCTGTGGCATTGTAATTAGGACAAAAATCTATGTGACAAACCTCAGCAATCATTGAGTTATTATGGAGAAATAAACTGACAGCAGAGGAGTTGTTACTTCTTGAAAGATATAAGAAAGGATTTTTGCTTCCTGACATGAGAAACCCTTTTCCCAAGCACTGGATTACACCAGATTGTCACAGTGTCTGGTTTGTGTTCCCCGGGTTTTCACTCTTTCCCTGATCGTCACCCTTATCGTGAACTGCATTTCCCATAACCCTTTGCCTGAACTCATCACTGATCATTGCACACAGCTGTTCCCACTCACATTGTTTGCACCTGTCTATTTATCCACAAGTTTCCGAGGGGCGCTCCTGTAAAAAATAAAGTGGGTGAAACTTCCGGTGAGGCGGCGAAAGTAGCATTCCAATGGTATTTTGTGTGTTAGTTAGCGAAGAGGCTAGCTGTTTTTCGGAGAATTATTTTGCTATTTAAAGACGCAATTCTTTATGAGAGATGTCGTTACGGAGCTCAGGGACAACATGTGCTGTTCGCGGTTGTATGTATAACCGGACCAAACTAATTCAGGGGCTTAAACGTGATTGTTTTGAACATAAGCTGAAAACGAAATCAGAGTGATCCTGCCAGAGCCCGTCTCTAATCCTGCCAACGACTGTAACGTTAGTTTCCATCACCTCCCAAAAGACGACGAATCTTCCTCATTTGTGTACATTTGTTTAAATCCTTAATATTCTATAAACTCTATCAGCATGTGATTGGCTGTTCGCTACTGATGTTACACCTAAACTCAGGATCAAAGCCTTGTTGACAGAATACCAAATGTGCCAGTTAATGTATTCAAGTTGCACATTCATTTATAATTCTGAATAAACTCCAGCGCAGAATGACTAAGTGTGTATTTTTCATTTTAATTGTTTGTCAGCTCACACAACTGTCTGTCACCATGCCTTAATGCTATTATAATACTCCCAATCAACTACTGCGGAGGGTAAAGGTACTGTTATTTCACCCTTTTGAATTTCGTTGAGGTTGTGTTCCCACATCGTTAGCTAGTTTGGATCGCTATAACTTGAATGACTGTCAACTGTTGAATGAACGAGTGTCAAGCATGTCAAGTCGCGCTTTGTTTACTTCCAACCGGAAGTCGCGCCCACTTTTGCAAGGCCTCATGGGGCGTAGGAAACTTGTGGATACCCTGTCTGTTAGTTGCTGAGTCCTTGTTTTATGTCAGTTGCACTTCGGAGTGCTTGTCTTGTTTGTTTCTTGTTTTTGGACTGTGTTGTATGGATTTTGACCCTTTGCCTAGCTGACGATGATTAGCCTATGGTTTACCCCAAATAAACACTGCATTTGGATTTTACCTTTTGTGTGCATTCTGTGACACAGATTTAAAGGAGATGTCTGGTATTTTCTTCAGATTAGATAAATTATGTGGAAAAGCGATGTATAAATGTTTCGTTAAAATATTGTACAAGTCAACACTGTGTGAGAAAATGGATAATGTCTGCAGAGAGACGTTTGATGTTGGAAACAAAGTTAAACCACACTGGAGGGTCTTATATGAACCTTTGATGAAAAAATCAGGAGATCTTCTATGGAGAATCCTGAAGGGGACTGACTGTTGCTGTGAATGCTTTTGTCTCGGTTATTAACCCAAATGTCATTGAAGGTTGTGGTTTTTTGTGGGTTTAGAGAAACTATTTATCATCGTTTTCTGTAACATAATAGACTTTTTGGGTTTTAAGGAAATTTTTACACCAAAGGTTTTCATCTGTGTAGGATACATCCACAATCAAAGATTCAAGAAGCGACAGTTGATCAACAGTTGGCCAAGCAAAAATAGCAATATATATTTCAAGGAAAATTATTATTCAAAATATGTATTGTCAGGATAGTATACTGTTGTTTAAGGCATTTATTAGATCTAGGATCTCATTTGAATTTAGTATTATAGTGAGATGCAAGATTTAGGAACCTTTATATAGACCATTTTGCAAGATGTAAACAACACTGGTCCAGAAACACTTCCTGTTTCAGTTTGTAACTGTTTTTTTATTTCACATGTAAAGAAAACATCTTAAAGATGTTTGTTTAACTTTTTGATTAAGTTTTAAATGTTCTGTTGGTTGTATTTTATCCCAGCATTTATGTAGTGTTAAAAAAAACTGTAACAGGAAGTGCTTCTGGACCAGTTTTGTTTACATCTTGCAAAATTATTATTAGCCTACAGTGGTGTTTCAATGAGGTTTGTTGTGCTGTGTGAGGGGGATTTAACTTTGAGCTTCTTGCTGAGTTGATTGTTTTTGTGATGCAATGATGGGTTTTTGTTACTGACAACGTACCCTTTTCACTAAATCTTTCCCTATCATTTTTGCTTTACAGACAAGGGAAGGAGACGTAGGAGTGATGCACAAGTGAAACAGGAACTGAAAGACGAGATAATCCGTTGGAAACGAAGACTTAAAAAGGAGAAGAAACATAATAGGCTACGACTGTAATGTGCAAATCTTGACAGCCCAGAAGTTAAAACACAAACAGTTCTTCAAGGTCAGTCAACACCCGCTAGTGGACAAAAAAGTTACAGGAGGATGAGCTTGTGGCACAATTCCAGCAGCCGCCACTTACATTTATTTACAGTATGCAGTTCTGTGCACGATTCCCTTCGGTGGATTTCATATTAGCATGGAAGCTATGAATTTCCATTCGTGACCAGTAGAGGTCGCAATGTGTTGGTTTTGTGTTTTCTCTGTACATCATTCTTGAATGGCACACAAAACTCCCTTCCACAACAACCATTAGCAAACTTACTCTTCGAAATGATGCTATTAATACGATTAAAGAAGTATGCTACTTTTAACTGAAACTGAAAGTCTGGGAAGATTTTAAAAAATATAAAAGAAATTAAAATGATTAATGCAACTGCCATCAATGTGATTTGCTAGTCCGACAAAAACGAACTTCATCGAGATTTAGGTTCACACACACAGACTAAAAGACACAAAACTTTCTTTGGATGGATTTCATGAGGTGTTTTGTTGTAGCCTACTACAGTATATGATCCTGGGTGGTTTCAGTCACGTGACCCGTTTAGAGAAATGAGGGCATTAATCAGCTGTCTCTTCTTTACTGAGACTGAATTAAACACTAAAAACATTTTACTTGCCACAACAGTAACATTATTGTTCAGTTACATTATCAAAATAATATTTCAAATGAAAATCAAATATCAGTCTTTTTTTGTGCGTTTGCCTACAGAACCACTGGCTCTGCTCCCTTTTACCTAAAATCATTATTTCATACTTATGTGCCATCCAGAAACTTGCACTCTTCAAGCGTAGTGGTACCATCTCAAAAAATAGGTCATTGCACTTGCATATTGTTGTCCTAATGTTCATTTTAACTGCTTCTCTATTGTTCTCATGTGTAAGTCACTTATACTGTATAAAAGCATCTGCTAAATGAATAAATGTAAATGCTCTGAAGAGTGGGCAGGACTAAAGTGGGTTGCTCATGGTTTCAAGTTGAGTGTTAACCGTTCACACGGCCTTGTTTTTACATATTAGCTCATCATTGCATCATTATTAGCTATACTGTGTATAAGGGAGTATGCAAGGTCTTCTTATAAACATGTGCAGTCTTGAATGTGCAGTGGCAGATGTTGAATGGTTAATGAATCATTGTGATTTTTGCTGGGTCACATTTATCTTCTGGTTTTTGTATTTTTGTTTATTTTGGAAGTCTATAAAATGGTGCACTGAATCCATCAAGCTTACTCCTATAAATGTTTTAAACTGCTCAATCCCATGTTTGCTTTTCCATGGAAAGAGTTGCTGTGTGTGTCTCTGATTGAGGAAACTCAGTTGGCGAGTCCTGGCGAGCGGTTTTAGAGTTCTTCCCTGTAGAGCAGTTGCTATAGAAACTCTGTACTGCACACATTTTTGGCAGTGAAGCATTTCAGGTCTGTTAAGGTTTTCTGGCCTACAAAAAAGAGAAACAAAAAGAGTTCATTCGATAAACTGAGTCATAGTTTCAGTGTATTCACATGAAGTGCAGCGCAAGAGCCATGAATAACATTTGAGCAATAGGCTACGGATGATGCCATTTCATTGGAAATTGAGCAAATTGTGCGTGTACAAAAATGACTAACACGTGACTAAATCTTTTTCCTATATGAACAATTTTTGCCTTGTGATCTACCAGTAGCAATATATTACTGTAGTAATTTCAGAAATTAAATCCCAGTTTTTGTAGTTACAACAAAAGATACACTGTTAAAAACTAAGGTTTTTGCATAGAAGAAAATGTTTTGGTTCCCCACAGATACCCTTCAGTGAACAATCCTTGGTAACGCTTTAGATTACAGCCCGGAAATTACTGTGTAATTAAGAGGAATTTACAGTATAATTTTCTGTAATTATAGTGTACCTATAAAGTACTTACATGTAAGTATAAGGGAACAATATGTAAACTTTGGGTAACAACCAGGAGAATTAAATAAATTCAAAGTGCTCCCAAGCACTTGCTGTGGTATCCTGCCATACATTATAATTATTCACTTTACACGCTTAGAAAAACGCAACGTTTTATTTTGTGTCACCATTATTGGTTGAATTACTCTACTTGTGTAACTAAATAGGGGAAACGTCGAGGTGTTTGGTCGCTTCTCTGCTTGGCTCATATTGAATGAACTGGGCTAGTGCGATCAAAGTGTTGCACGCACTGAGACAACAGAGGTATGCATCAACTCGTCTTAGTTAAGGGAATAACATAGTTTAATATAAAAAAAAAACGGTGGAGTATCCCTTTAAACATACTAGAACCATCGAAGCCAATACAGAACCTGACAAAAAAGCATTTAAAGTCCCCTGTAGTCAATAATTGTATCCCTTAAAACTCAGCTTTGATCACCAAAATGACATATGAATGTAACTCTACACCCTTGCCTCATTTAGTATACACGGTAATATGAATATGTAAATGAGCCCCACCTCCACTCACTCACACCAGCTCAGAGATCTACTCGTTGACAATCACACAATGACATGATTGGTTACAACCCAGCAAACGCCGAACGTTGGCACAACCTTCTAACAACGTTTAACCACATGGCCAAAAGGTTGATATATACGTTGTTCGGTGAACGTTCTCACAATGTTGACATGAAACACCGTTCAGGGCCATTGCTTAGTTTGTGCCGAGGGTGTCTGGACCATGGACATAATATATACATAGACATTGCCCTATTGGCTGTTGGACCGAATGTCAACGGTGCCGCCATATTGCGGAGGGCAACTTTCCCATATCTCTCATAACAGGGATTGAGAAAAATGCCTGCTTGGGACTGTAATCATCACACAATTGAAAACAGGTTTTGGGGAATTATCTTTTACCAGTAAGACTGAAAATTTGTTTCTGGTTGTATTGTGTGGTCATTACATTTGTATCAATTGTAACGTTAGTTGGCCACCGGAGTTAGTCAGACTAAAATAGCTTGCCATGTCGCTAGTTAACTTAGCTGTGACAGTTGAGACATGAGTTGACATGATTTATAATTAGTTTTAGCATACATGCTAGATTATAAAGTAAATTTCTTGAAAATCGAAATATTCATCTATAGTTTCTTAAAACCCATTTTTATGCCAAGTAGGCGACTGATATGTTGTGAATATATTGCTTTGGCTTGCTCAGTTGGGGATATCCAAATTAATTAACCCATCATTAATACCATTGATCAGCTCTACCAAACGTGGATATTTTTCCACATAGAAACGAACATTGTTATTATGTTTTGATTGATACTGTGAAGCTGCTTTGATGCAATCTCTATTGTGAAAAAGCGCTATATAAATATACTTGACATGAATCTTATTGTAACGTTAGTTAGATAGTTGGCTAGCTCACTTTTCTCACACATTGAAGGTTTCCCAAAGACGAAGAGTTGAGTCATTGGGAAGTAGCTACACTAAGCCAAGGGTTTTTTGCAAGGGATTACCCCATTCGTGTGAGCAAGTTGAAGGACTTGACAGGACAGGTCAGACTGTCAGGATTAGGGATGGAGCTAAACCTGTTTCACGACACATCTTTCACTCTTCACTTACATGTGTCACGGCTGAGGTGGTTGAGATAAAGCCCATGTAGAAGAAGATTTGATAGAAGACTTTCATTCAAAAATTCAACCAACATCACCACCACACATCAACTTAAAGTAAAAGATACAAGACCAGGAGCAAGGAGAAACAGGGGGCTTATACACAGAGAACAGATCAAGGAAACAAGACACAGCTTGGGCAAATTAACTCAATGACAGTAACCATAGAAACCAACAAGATACATTTGAACCAAATGGGAGGAGTGCTAGAAACACAATGAACATTGGGAAAGTCCAAACAGAAATGTGACAACATGGCCCAAAAGCCTATTTGAGAAAGTCTCTCCATCTCCACCTGGTATTCTTGATTTAATTTGATTGTACAAAATGGTCTAATACATGAATGAACTACTTTTAATTTTACAAAGGTGGATGAGTTCTGTAGATTCCAAACCTGGCTTCAACATGATGATGTTGGACATGTTGAAAAGACGATACGAGGAAGACCCAGCTAAATGTGGATGTGTGAATCTCATGTTGGATGACAAACATGTTCAGTACAATCCTCATATACAGAACATGTCTGGATTTGTGGATATGGGGGATGGTATGAATGGAACTGGAGGGTGTGGTGATGGCGCAGTGGATAAGACACATGCCTTTGGTGTGAGAGACCCGGGTTCGAATCCACTGTGAGACACCAATGTGTCCCTGAGCAAGACACTGCTCCTTGTGTAGTACTGAACTACTCCTTTAAAATCGTGAAGCTTCTGTTCATGTGAAGAGTTCACAGGTTCATGACATCATGAGTTCATATGATGCCCTTTTTCCCTTGTTCTGAACTTTTCATTTCCTCTTTTTTTTCCGTTGGAATTCGTATTATCGTATTTTTTCAGCTCTTTTAGTTGGCACATTGGTGTGTCCACTGGTATGTTTCTAGTTGGCATAATGCCCTAGAAGTAAATCATTTCCTTTAAGGTTACTATTCCTGACAATAATAAGGAGTCTGCTGTAATTTTCCGATACGCACCGCCTTTTATCTACTAGGAAAATACTATTACCAACCAGAGGCATTGCACTGGTGTGCCTTCTTAGGAATTGTCCCTGAATGTTTTCTCAAAAGCCCCTAAGTTTTTGGATTTTACAAATAGCTTTGTATCATTTGTCTCTCAGTCTCTATAACTAATCTGCTCTACAAGTCAATGGAGCAAATGTTCTATTATTAGAGTTATCCATTGGTCACTGCAATGGCATGTCACTGTGTGGTTGTGCCACATCAAGACCATTTACAACCAAACAAACACTTTTGGGAAGAGGTCACACAGTCACTATCCACTATAGTTGGCTGCCACATCCCACTGTCGCCTTCCCTTTGCTTGCTGGGAGACCTCACAATAATCACTGATAAAACTATAAACTCTAAAATACTCCTCATAGCTCTAACCATCGCCAAGAAAACTATCCTCATGAACTGGAAAACCAGAAATAAATGACATAACATTTGGAAAAATCTTATTACAGACTTCATATAAGATATGAAGATATCCCCTTCATAATTACACATCTGAAACTGACCTCTGCCATCCAACACTTTCTGACCTCTTACAGCTATGAATCCTCTCTCTGTTCTTAACTCCGACTCCTCCCACCTTCTTAACCAACCCACGAATATTTGTGCATTTTAATTGCTTGAACTTGTTTCTGTCGTCATTGTTATTACTATCTTTACTGTTACTGTTATGATTACTATTTTCACTTGTATTCTTTTTATTGTTGTAATTGCTGTTGTTGCTGTCTTTTGCTCTCACCGTTGTGATCACCACTGCCATCATCATCGTAATTTATTATTATTATTACTATTATTATTATTATAATTATCATCAATATTGCCATTGTCAATGCTGTAGAATTAGAATGTAGAACTAGAATTAAGTGTCATTGTCACATAGCTGTCAACCCTCCCGTTTTTTCCGGGTTTCTCACGTATTTTTACTCTTTTCCCGCTGTCTTCCCGTTTCCCGATCTCACGGGAATTCGTACGAATTTTACGAGGTGGCTAATTCGTAACAATTCATACGACCTCAGTCGTACAAATTAGTACGATTTTTGCTAAATCGTACATATTTTACGAATTGGCCAATTCGTATGAATTCGTACGAATGACCTACCCCTGACCCCGCCCCTAAACATAACCGTCACGTGGGTTTAGACAAATCGTATGAATTCGCACGAGTGAGGTCGTACGAATTAGTACGAATTAGCCACTTTTTAATCACTCGTACGAATTCGTACGAATTGGTCGTGAGATAGGGTAGGTATTTTCCCGTAAAATATCCAATATTATGAAGCTGCAGACTCGGAGCCTGCATCTACAGTCCCCCACCGAGAGTCCCGCATTCTCAGACCCCGCATTTTTCGAACACAGCGCCTCCTGCTGTTCAAAAGATCGAATAACACCCGCACACAGAGTACAGTGCACGCTTATCCAAATGCAATTAAAAACAATAGGATGCAATATTACGGTCTTCAAATAAATTATCCAATAAATATTTGCGTTCCCTGCTTAATGCAGGTGCCAAAAAACTCATTGTTACTGATGGAAGGGATACAATTACAGATTGAACTATCTTCTGAAAAATAGTCTATGTGATATTTTATTGCTACAATGTTTGGTTTTTTTATATATATATTTTTTTTATTCAAAATTAAAGAAAAAGAAAGAAAAAAAATCAAATTCATGTTGCACTGCTCTGACTGTAAGTGTCCCTTGAGATGTTTTTGAACTTTGGACAACATTGTGGGTTTGAGATATATGGGGGCACAAAATGGGCAGTAAAAATAACTGCAGCATTTATGACATATAAAAAAGTCCTAGGTTAAAGGCTAACGTTAGCTATCAAAATATTTTCGGGGTAAAGAGTGCGAAAAAACATAGCGGCTCAAATCTTGTTACAAACTACCTTTACAAATATTAAATGGACTATTCTTATTGTATCGATTAGCTAAATTAGTTTTATTAAAAAATAAATCAAACGAGCTATTACGATTCTCTAAATAAAATTGAAGACAGCCTACTCACGTTTTGGCTTAAGTTCTGTTTATCTGATACAATTTGATAGGAGGCGGCGGCGCTGACTCGAAAAACGAGGGGTCTGAGAATGCGGGACTCTGGGTGCAGGGGGACTGTAGATGCAGGTCTCCGAGTCTGCAGCTTCATACTACTCAAAATATCCCGTATTTTTACTCTGATTGTGAGACGTACGAGCTCGGACTGATTCGGCTTGAAGTCGTTTATTCTCAGATGCGGCGCCGCGCGCGCTGGCCGGAGACACACTGGGCTGTGTGGCGTGTCCGTTTTTATTTCGGTTCCCATGTTAACAGATTAGAGCTTGCACACTCCAGAAAACGCGTGCATGCTAGAAATAGAACTGACGCCTATTTTTTCACGTGACACGCAAGCGTGTTGAAAGCGTTTCCAGGCAAAAAAAAAAAAAAAAAAAAAAAAAAAAATAGGAAACGATGTTTATATGTCATTTTGTTCTCGAATAGCCTACATTTTACATTTTGATGTTTGAAAGTCAAGGTTTTTACATAAATTCAGATATCAATGTAATTTAAACAAATAATAATTATAATAATCGATTTATATTGCCATTAGTTTTGCCTATATATAATTTAATGTCATATAACATATGAATAAAATATCTTTTCTTTTCTTTTTTTTTTTCATTTGTTTCTTATGCTCTTAATGATTACACAAAGAAGAAGAAAAAACTTTTGGAAAAAAACGTTCTGGGCCTCAGGAGGATATAAAGATGGGATATATACAATCAACAGAGTGTGTCTTCTGAGTGACGGTCCATCACCAGGCTAAATATAGGCTCTTTAAAACTACATAAAATGTGTAAATGTAATTGAAATAAACAGACAGCCCACTTCCCTATTTTGTGGGTTTTGGAAGATGTGATAACAGTTGAAATTGTTGTCATAAAGGCAAGAGCAACACACCGCTAATCCAAATGTAGATTTTTTTTTTTCTTTAAATGACACTAGGTTCTAGGCTAGTTATTAACTCTTTAGACTTTTAAGGATTAGTGCTTTATTTTTAAAGTTTGTGGGTAAGAATCGTGTAAAAAAAATCCCTTATTTTGGGGAAGGATTCCGGGAAAACTCCCTTATTTTCAATGTTCAATGTTGACAGCTATTCATTGTCATCAGTATTGCAATAACTTCCCCCCCCTTATCTCTTCATGGGTTTTTAATGCACCACAACATAGAATAGGAAAAAAAAAAAAAAAAACACGCCAAACACCAAGGCAGGCGAGAAGTGGTTTCAACAGGACAGCATCGCTGGCCCAATTTGAGACACTCTCGCACTGTACTCCCTCTTTTAATGCACTTTAGACATTGCACATAACACACACACACACACACAAAAAAGTAAAATAAGGAAAAGATAGGGACTGATGAGATGTGGGGGAAGGTTATCTTATATTATATTATTTTATTATATCATATTATATTTTATACAGGATTGACAATGGCAATTGTTACATAGGAGGAAGGATGGAAATAAAAATCTACAAACACGGGCAGTAATAAATAATAAATGGTTACTTTGTTTACACACACATACACATACCCACACTCACACCCGCTCACATACACACTTAGATCAAACACTTAAATCACTCTTGTCTAAATCAATCAACCGGAAATGACGCGAAACAGCAATACCCAGCGAAGAAGACGAAGAACACAACACGCAAAGATGGATGTCAGACAGAAACTAGTGCTGCAAACTGTTTGCACGATGATTTTCTCTGGGAAAAAAAAAAGAAAAAATAGATTTACCCGGTAACCTCAACCCATGCCTTGCTCTGATTGGCTGTAGCTCATGACATCACGTGAGGTTGAGCCGTGCGATAGCTCTGGATATCTAGCAGGCTAGATATTTTTCTGGGCTCGGCGACTCGTCTGCGAGCGTCTTTGATGAGTTGTTGGCTCTTTCATACTAACAGATTGGCGAGCGTTCAGCCGCGCCCGCTAATCCCCCGCGATTTGCAAGCGATAACACCCTGACCTGTCAGCGAGATCAACGATTTGCAAATCAAGTTTAAATCGGGCTTAAAATCATGCAGTGTGAACTAGGCTTTAGGATCACTTGGAGCTCTTCTTCAATTCAATTCAATTCGGGCAGATGAAAAGAAGAAGCATCCGTATTAAAGGAAGAGCTGCGTGATTAATCGTGAAAAAGAATATTGATTTAAACACCTTCACTATCTTATTCCTAAATGACAATTATTCAGCTTTGTCGATTAAACCTTTGCCAAGCAGGATTACAGCAAAAAAATCATGATTCATCCAGAATCACAAATTCATCCATATTATTGTGCAGCTCTAGTTAACCTAAAAATGAAACTTTGCTGGTAATGACCATCAGGCTAAGATGTATATGACTTTCTTTCTTCATTCGATGGCCTTGTTGTGAATTTATTCTCAGCGAATTTTTATGTTTCTGTGTGTGTGTTTGGTTTTTAGGGGAATGGAATAACAATACTGCAGGCCAGTGCCAGGGAATTTTCCAGCATCTCATGGTCCGGAGCCGTGTCTACATCAGGGAATTCATCTTGCAATACATGAATCTGAGGAGGAGCTTCCATCCCCTTTTTGTAAACGTTTCTGCACTTGTGTGGGACCACAGCTACCCGCCAATGTCCTTGTGCACATTTCAGGTTTTTTAGAGCGTCAGATTTGGTGGCAGATGCTGTACCTGCGTCTTTTGATCAGAACTACCACTTTTCAGCATTCACTGAAAAAAGACGTGTATAAATATTTAACAATTAACCAACTAATTAAAAATCAACCTCAAAACATAACATGCTAAATGGGGGACCTCTAGATCTAGCAAAATTGTCAGAACATCGTCTCTCAGTTGAAGAATGTCGCACTGTTAGCAAATGGTCTTTTTTTTTATTCCAGAACATTTGATACAGTATTTTCTATTTATTATCTTTGATAAATTTACCTGACATAATAAATTGTTACATTTGATGATTCTTCTAACTGACTTTGATATTATTTCATTAGAGTTAAAGGAATTAGTCAAACTTTCGCTTATATTCAATGATGATAACAATAAAAACCTTTTCATTTATGGAGTCAGATGAAATAACGAGTTAATGCATAAGATATAATATATTGCATTTAATTAAAAATCCCTTTGCCATGAGAAAAGATGGTTTGTCTTAAAGCATATTAAAAACACAAAAGACATTTGAGGCATTTCCATCAATTTCTGTATTCATAAAAATAAAATTAACATGAAAAAGTAACGCTGTACATTCATAAGCAACATACCTTAGACATTTACTGTCCCACAACATTTTTGAACACATTTAGACATGATGAAGTAGTCAGGATGTTAAACACCCTTAATAAGTAGTTAACATTCTTTTCTGTTTGTGATTTTTTTAGTTCATTAATGTTAACATACATAGTTAATGTTAATGTTTCTATTATTCGCCATGCAGCAGTTAACTAAGTTCGTATAGTTAACTATCAGTTTTCAGTTAGTTAAAGGCACACTATGCAAGAATTGTACCTTATAACAGCTTCAAAGTCATTTCTGTGGTAAACAAACTCATAGTTAGACAATCATCCTGTTTTCACGCCACTGAATGAAAGTTTGAGAGGAGCGCCCTCGACAAATCGCTCGAGAATCACGACATGCTTTACGGCAACGACGTCACACACATCAACCACAACATGAAGCACTAAGACATTTGCGCACAATTCAGACGTGATACTCGACGGTGGAAAAAGCAAAGAAAACGCGGTCGGAAGAGACTAGGAAACGAGAATGAGCCTCTCTACTCAACCCGTAAACTAAATGCATTGATCCGCAAGTTTTATTGAGTCTAGTGGTAATCTTTTGCAAAGTGTGTCAGAGGTTTTTCTCTCTCATCAAAACTGAATATGTTCATCAGTGGTTACAGTCTATATCAAGCAGGGACACGTTTTTGTGCATTTTATTTTGTGATTTCACAGGAATTAATACGCGTTCAAGTGAAGACTGCACACGTACCGCCACAAGAGACACTATGTATCCACGACACTGATAGCAGCGGACACGAGCGCTCAGCTTGAGTTCAAAAACACATTTTAGCACTAGATCTCTTATTTAATGCCAAAATTACGCACTATGCAAGATTTGTACCTTAAAGGACAAGTTCAGTATTTTACAATTAAAGCCCTGTTTAAAGATCGGCCCTGATGAAATAGAATAGTTAAGATTGTTTTTTAGACAAATGCTCCCGTCACGAGAATTTTTGGATTCTGTGTTAGCACCCCCCCACCTTTATAATGAAAGCATAGGTGCACTCGAACAATCATTCATTAAAACGCATAAAACTTTAGTTTACAAAGACGTGAAACTCACCGAGTGGTCTGGGGTGTTCACTGATATGCTCACACAAATATCGCTGCAAAAGATGCTTTCCAACAGGTTTTATCATAGTTTTTGTCCGACTTCATTTTCTTCCTGTTTTCGGTCGAAGTCCACAGTAGTAAATTGTCGAGTTCACGTGCGCGATCATTGGTAACTAGATAACTAAGGATCGCGCATGCAAACTCGACAATCGACTACTGGGGACTTCGACCAAAAACAGGAAGAAAATGGACTTGGACAAAAACTATGATGGAAAGCATATTTTGCAGCGTATCAGTGAACACCCCAGACCACTCGGTGAGTTTCACGTCTTTGTAAACTGAAGTTTTATGCGTTTTAATGAATGATTGTTCGAGTGCACCTATCCCAGACAGCAAACTGACATTGAATCAACGTGGAAACGACGTCTCTCATGACATTGAAACAACGTTGATTTTGCTCATCGAATTAACGTTGAACCAACGTCAGACGCGGCATTCTTCAAAGCTAAATGAAAATCGAAAATTGGTTTGCTTTCATAACGTTGAAACAACGCGTTGATTTCAAGTTGATTTTCCGTTAGTTTTGAAAGAATGACGCGTCTGACGTTGGTTCAACGTTAATTCGATGAGCAAAAGAATGTCAGATCAACGTTGTTTCGATGTCATATTTCCACGTTGATTCAATGTCAGTTTGCTATCTGGGATGCTTTCATTATAAAGGTGGGGGGGGGGGTGCTAACACAGAATCCAAAAATTCTCGTGACGGGAGCATTTGTCTAAAAAACAATCTTAACCGTTCTATTTCACCAGGGACGATCTTAAAACAGGGCTTTAATTGTAAATTACCGAACTTGTCCTTTAATATAACAGCTTCAAATGGGTATTAGGGTGTGAGTGCAAAGACCAGTCAATAGCCACACTTTGCGTGAGTGGTATTTACGACAGTAACATTAAATACAAGTACTCTACAGAAACTGTAGGGGTCGCTGTTTGACAAAAACAGATTTTCTGCATAGTGTGCCTTTATGATTACAGTTAGGGTTAGTTTAAATAAATATAGCATATTTAAATAATTCATAACATTAGCTTGATCACTTATGCACCACAAGATAAAAATGTTTTAGCAATCCTTGTGCTGTTTTATAAAAAAAATGCATAGAAAAAGGCGCACTGGTCATTTAACAGTGACAAGCCTATTGAGCCTGATGAAAAATTATGTGTGGCTGTATAAAAAACAAGTTCACTATGAAGCTATGAATAAAACAGTAAATTAATAAAAATGTGATGTCTTACAATTAGGACTAAAGTAAAATACAGACTAATTAAACATTATTGTTATTATTACATGTGTGTGGTTTGTAATATGACATCCACTACTTACGTTATAAATATTTTACAGTACATACTCGTCACATAGACACATAGAAAATTATGACAATAATGAAAATATGTACAGAAATGGGTTTTCCACTGTGGTATAACAAATTTAAAAATTGAAGTGGTTATATTTAATAAGTCAGAATTCTGTCAAGAATGATCCGTAAACACACATAAAAATACATTTAACTTATCGATTTAAAAAGAAAAAAGTGCTGTTTCGTAACAGTTTCTGGTCTACCGCAGCACCCATGCACAGTCCAGTCAGTTATTTGAAGAATACTCCATAATAATCAAGTTTTTCACAATCTCCCTGAGGAGAAGGTACCGTTTTGAGGTCATCTCTTGCAAGCCCATCAAATGACAGAATTCGGGGATGCATTGCATTTGTATATCACATAAGAGACGATTAACGCCACTGCCACAACCACGCCGGATAAAATAATAGCCCAGAATGTGGTTCTGTCTGTGGGAGAAATGACACGAATGACTTTAGAAACATGAATCCATCAACAGTTTCAACAGAGAGTTTAATATAACCAGCTTACTAAAATATCACAAACACATTTTTTTTCCTGTCTCAATTTTAATTTCAAATGGAAAAGATTTCTAATAATTTTCTATATAACCAATAGAAAGCTGTTTTGTTTTTGTTGACTTTTGTTTTCTATTGGCACCTAAATAAAATCCTTAGAAAACTCCACAAGGAGAATTGTAACACACAGTGTGTGAAGAACGTTTAAAAAAAATCTAAAGAATCTTATATTATAAAGAAAGTTTTGTGGAATGGAAAGGTTCCAAGGATGTTAAAGGTTCTTCATGAATACATTTAAGAACATTTGAAGAACCTTAATTTTTAGGGGTGTATGATGTATTTTTTAGGCCAAAGGCAGAAAAGAGTTAGCATTTTAACACTTCTGGTACCATCGTCCCAATGTCAATGGGTTGTTGGTAAAATGCTTGAAATAAAGTCTGTCTATCGCAAGCTCAAAATATCTGTACATTTTTTTTCTATATATAACACATCAGTAAAACCCCCTTGTGATTTTTTTAAAGCTTATGCTTGTCTTGAAAAAAGCGATTGCTAACAGGTGGTGAAATTGGACTCCAGACATTGTCAGGATTTTAAACAATTACACCAAACAACTTAAACTCGTCTACTCACTGTAGTCTGCTTATACAGCCTACCTGTGTAGCAAACTATTATAACTCATAATGTTTTATAGCCTATGTTTTGCTTTTTTTTCTTCTGGCCATTGTATTTAGGGTTCAAAATTCATAAAAATGTTAATTTGTGAAGATTATCATGATGAATAAAGCTGGTAAAAATATTTTGTAGGTCTTAAAAGCTTTCTTTCTATATCCTGAAAGTTATTTCCATCACGAAAGTTAGCATAACTCTGGTTCCCTCAATGAAAACCCAATAGCATTTTTCCTTTGGCTTTTCATTGAGGGAACCAGAGTTATGCTAACTTTCGTGATGCCCTACAAAAAATACATCATCACTGCATTTCTACTATTGAACAGTAGAAATCAGAGGCAGATTATTGTTTATTCCGAACTGACCTTTAGACTGGAGGATGAACACTTTGCTGTCACTTCCCTGAGAGTTTGAGGCGATGCACGTGTAGTTTCCTGAACTGAGCGTGGAGGACTGAAGCACATTGAACGTGATCGTCTCTTTCAGATGATCTGACTGCCATGAGTACGTAGGAGCCGGGTTTGCCTTCACTGTGCAGTTTAGCTCATCATTTATATTGATGGTCTCTGTTGAACTGGAGTGTTTTGGTTTATCTGAGGAGGACAGAGGAACATTTTAATTCATATTGTTAATTATTGTATGTTTACTAACTTCATATAATGGATAATTCTTCACACTAGGATGCCCTTCCGAAATATAAATGAATTAAATTGAATACAATTTCCAAGATTTGCAATAAATAAACCTACAGAAAACTTCAACATTGAGATGTTTTGACGGGGCTGTTGGAGGAACTCGAGGTCCTTCTTCTCCCAGTTCCAGCTTTGCTTCACACCAGTACTGAGCTCCATCATCAGCTCTGTCTGCACGGATCTGGAGTTTAGATGTTTTACTGACTGGAGTCTTGATGGTGTCAGTGAAGATGGTTTGATTCACCAGAGTCTGTCCTTTGTACCAGTTGATAATGAGATTCTGAACAGGAGCCACATTGAGAACGTCACACTGGAGCTCATACTGGTTTCCCTCCATCATTGGTCCGTTGTGATTCACAGTGCTGATGGACACACTGTCTGGAGTCTCTGTGGAGGAAGATTTACACTCTCTGATATCTGCAGTCATCAATGTACAGTAGATATTGCTGAGAATATAAAAGTATCAATAACAGAGAAACTCACTGTAAATAGTCACTGGGAGAGGTACTACACACTGTCCCTTATAGTTTATGAAGCACATTGGCTCTATGTCCCATTCTGTCAGGTTTGACACTCTCCATGTGATCAGACTGTCATTGCTCATGGGCACTGCTCCCTCACTGGCTTCCCATCCCATCCCTTTATGCAGGACAGAAGTGCTGCAGTTGGCTGAAACAGAACCGCCGAACTCCACAATAACTCTCTCTGGGTTGAGCTGAAGAGGACATTCATCAGCATGTGTACCTGTTAAACACAGTAAAGAATTCAGAATAATAGAAGAATACATGTATTATTTACTTGACAGACTAACAATAACAGCAAATATCACATGTTAAAGATTCTTGGTCAAGATCTGGTTTTGTAGAAGGCCATCAGTCTATAACAGTTTATGACTGTTTAAAACCAAGAAGCTCATCAATTCTAATCATATTGGCATTAAACTAATAAACACTGACACATAGGGTGAGGGTCATTCCACAAAAGTATGTTCTTCATTAACATATTTGTAAGCCATTTACAATGACATTGACAAGCAGTTAGTCGGGCACCCGTTTTTACTGTGCTATAAGACATTTTACTTAAAATAGTCAAAGAAATAGTCATAGTTTTTATTTTATCTGATTATTCTTTCGCCATTAATATGTATATTGTCCTGTCTCAGCACCGTTTCCAACTTCTCTTGTAGTAATTAAGCACGAGTTGTTGCAGGAAATAAACATTTTATTCATATTTTTTTTATAGCTGCGTGTCAGAGATAAAAAAGCACAAACAAAACACACATAAAATTGAGGTTAAAGCACTGGAGATATATGGACTACTTTAATGATGTCTTTACTATCTTCCTGGGGCTTGAAAGTGTAGCTGTGTAGGTTGTCAATGGAGGGACAGAAAGCTCTCAGATTTAATCAAAAAGATGTTCATTCGTGTTGTAAAAATGAACAAAAGTCTTGCAGGTTTGGAACGACATAAGGGTGAGTAGCCTAATTAATGACTGAATTTTCATTTTTGGGTGAATCACTTTTGTGTCAAACCCATTACCCTCACAACTCATCCTTATTAATATGATATACAATTCCATAAATTTAAAAAAGTCATATTGACATCATTATCAGTTACAGTATCTGAACTCTGAAAGGACAAGTATTTACATTTGTACCGCTTCATATTGTATTTTGCTGCTTGGTCCCTACACAAAAAGTGGATATTTGTAGAAATATCAGCAGCATTATAAAAAAGCTTTCACTGTCATAATGACTGTATGTGTTAGGTACTTTTTAAAGGTCATATCTATACAAATCCAAAGATTACATGCTGAAGAGCTTGCCAGAATTCAAAATATGTGTAGGCTACTCAAACACAAGTCATATCACATTACAGCCCTGGTACAGTATAGCTAGCCTACTAGTGAGCGCGACAGTAGCTAGCATACAGTAATGAATTAGCTTTCAAACTCAATATTCGAAATGAAATCTAAACTAGGCTATATCCCAGTCAATGAAAGTTCTCGCTTCATGTAGGCTACAGGTAGAATAAAAAGGGAACTAAGTCAATACAAACCTGTGAGAGTCAAAAACAGTAAAACTGCAAAGAGGTACAGATGTCCAAAGAAATATTGCTGCATATTAAAAGTGTTTGTCCGTCGACCGGACAAAAGGCGCGGTTAAAAGGCTGGTGGATAAATATACGTATTACGTCCCCCGACACTGTTCTCGGCTGAGTGACTGTCGTGATTCCTCAAGCAAAACCCCACCCACCCAGATCACAACTGGATATAGGAACCTATGGAAAAATGCCATCACAGAGGGAGTTTCCTCAGCTCAGAAGAATTCATAAGAGCCATAATCTCAAACATTATACTCTCTTATTAAGTGACACAAACCGTTTTACCCGCACAATACGATGTTTTATTAGTAGGCTATAGTGAGCATTCACGTTGGCACATTACAAACGTTATTTAACCATAATATCAAAACATTTCAATGTTGGAACATTTGATTAATATCAACGCGTCTGGTCGAACAATGTTTGCTCTACATTGAAGTTTAGGAAAAATAATAAAGTAGTTTACACGTTGGACATGCTACATTTTATCAATGTATGAGATTTAAAAAAAAAAAAATCTACTCTGCAAGCAGCTACTGATGGCAGGCCGTTTTAGCTTTTATTCATTTCCAGGATATGAATTCTTGATATCAACAATCACTTTTTTTTATATCAACAATCACATTTTTGATATCAAAAATGTAATTCTTTATATTAACAAAAGTGAAATGTCACCATGTGCCATTCAAAACCAATTGTTGATATCAAGAATTGATTTCTTACTAGTTGAAATTCCAATTTCACATATCAGAAATACAAATTATTACTAGTAAAAACCTTTATTTTTGATATCAAGAATTCAGTTGTTGCTAGTTGAAATGTCTTGAATTGAATTGCCACAATGTTCATTGTTGATATCAATAATTCAATGTTTACTAGTGACAATGTTAATTTCTGATATCATGAATGTGATTGTTACTAGTAAGAAAGCCATTTTAGATATCTGAAACAATATTGATATCAGAAATTATATCAACAATAATATCAATAATTCATTTTGAATAGCAGCCTATGGTGACATTTCACTAGTGAAAATACAAATATCAGCAATTCAATTGTTGATATCAAAAAATGTAATTGTTGAATTCAAGAATTTATATCCTGGAAATGAATAAAAGCTAAAACGGCTTGCCATATCTACTTAGTAGCAAAGGCTATTTTACTGTTAGTATTGTTTTTATATTGTTTTAATGTATTTTATATACATTTATATAGCCTATTGTTATAACTTAAAACTGCATAAACATAGCGATTGGTTTGTTTTCTTCATCTTACACATTTCTAATGTCTCATATGTCATAGTTGTGCACAAGGATATAAATCTGTAAATAGGAGGAGCAAATGATCAGAAATGGACATCTGAGGTAAAAAAAAAATTATTTATTTCAGTACATATACACAACACCTCTGCATTTACCCCCTTAATAAAACACACAGTTGTTCAATACAAAATCAGATGTTCAATTATTTTGCAAGATGTGTAAAAAGCACAAATAGCCTTTTTTTATTTTAGATTTTTTTAAACAAATGATATGTTTTCTAAAATTTTCTCATGTGTATATACAAATTCAAATCACATGCATTGTGCTTAAAAGGACAGACTGTTAATTCCATTAATATAATTTAAACCACACAAGAATACAGGTAAGATAAATTATGAAACAAAGTTCAAATAATAATGAAAATTCTGTCATCATTTACTTCGCCCTCATGTTATTCCAAAGTTTTGTGGAGCACAAAGGTGAAACTTCGAAAGATCTTTACAGTTTTTACTATACAACCACAAAAGGGTGGTTAAAAAAAGCCAGACTTGTCATTTTTTAGTTAATGTTTTTAACATCATTAAACTGCTTGAGCCATAAAACTGGCACACTTATTTTATGTCCAGCATTGTTGTTTTTTCACAGACTATGAGGCCTGAGAGAATTTTCAGAAAGGCATCAAGATATCTTCCCACAGGTTCAACATGAGAGAAGAACTTTCACTTCTTCATAGTCAAACTCTAAAGTGCGGATTTCTCCAGAAGAACTGAAACTTTAAAGGAAGAACAGAGTAAAAGACTCAACAATAGTTTCTCTCTCAAAATACTGTATGTATAGCATTTGACAAAACATAATTTGATCAATGTGCCTGGGACATATACAAAAGAAAAGTTTTGTTACACAATCGAACAAGAGCTTAAAAGTGTGTGATTCCCTTAAACTATAGTGTGCAAAGCAAATATTAATTAACCAAGTAATATCCCTTTGTAGTTGAAGAATATCGTAGAGAATCATTAAGATCCTGAAAGATCACTTCAATTTCAACTTGAAATTTGTTCAGCATTTCTTTGCCAACACCTTAACATTTGTTCTGTCAGATATTTTCCATTGCAGATTGCGTGAAAGTTTATTTCGTTACTTTGCAATTAGCAGTTGAATAACACTGGACATAAGAGAGAAGCGAATGCACCAATTCTTCATAAAATCATGAAGAGACTAATAGCCCCAGAACAGAGGGCTAGATACAGTGTAAAAAACAAAACGTTGCCCAATGTGGACAATGGGGCTCGGCAGATGCAACAAACCCAGGGATTCATTTCATAACCTAAGCAAGGATATTGGACTGAGAGAGTTTCTTCATAGGAATACTATTGTCTTTGCCATTCTGTGCTATGTCTCCATTTTGTTGACTAAGCTTGACATCCTTCAGGTTATAACGGCCCATCTTGGCCTTTTTGTAGTAGATGGAGTAGATGAAGATGAAGATGACAGAGATGAACGCCACTGTGATGGCAACAAGTCCTGCTATTAAAGGCAGGTAATCCTCTGTGTCAAGAGAAATAAAGCACACCAGAAGATCAGTCACAATCCAAAACGAATAACACAGTTGCAAGTTTTAACTAGATGGTACAGTTCGTAGACAAACTTTAAGTTGGCTTGGAAAAGCCTAGCCAGAAAGATTGAAAATGTTTTACACTGTTCTAACATGGTTTTACATGATTTGTCATATTTCTAGTATGGTTTACCACATTGCTAGCATGATTTAACATGTTTTAACATGAACATAGATGGTTGGGTGGATCATCAAGATTAGTTAGAAAAAAGAAAGATCAGATTGAAAAAAGATCAGTTAGAAAGAATGAAAGATTAGTTAGAAAGAAAGAAAAATTAGTTTGAGAAATAAATAAATAAAGAGTAGTTAGAAATAAAGAAAGATTAGTTTGAAAAAAGAAAGAAAAGAAAGAAAGGTTTAAAAGAAAAGTTTAAAAGAAAGAATAGTTATACATAAATAAATAAATCTTAAGTTAAAAGAAAGAATAGTAAGAAAGATAGAATAGCTAGAAAGAAAAAGAAAGAAAGAAAGAGAAAGATGGATTAGTTAGAAAGAAAGAGGTAGATAGATAGATAGATAGATAGATAGATAGATAGATAGATAGATAGATAGATAGATAGATAGATAGATAGATAGATGGATAGATGGATAGATGTTCATTCATACTGAATGGTAGTTTAATTGAGTCTAGGGCTTCAGGGAGTTTAGATTTGAGTTTTTGTGTTGTACACTACTGGGCCACCGTAGTCTTGGCTCAATTTGAACTGTTGCAATGAAAGTCAATGGGATTTTTATGATATTTAATATTAATTTTTAAGAAAACTGAAACTCAAATCAGTCTTAAAAGATACAGCACACTTAAGGCCCGTACACACCGGGACGAATATCAGCGCACGTTATTCGCCAGCGTTTTTCAACGCGTTTTTTGTGTTCACACCCAAGCGATTTTCACTGACGATGAGCCGAGTGAACATGCAAATTCATTCCCTGACATTAGATGGTGCCCATTTGCTCTGCAATACCACTCCATATTAGTTCTCTTTTATAAAGATGTTTGTAGTTCTTGTTGTATTTGTCATTTAGTTCTTTATGTTCTTACACCAACGAGAACAGCAGAGCTCTACATTCATCTTGCCTTTGTGAACAGGCCTTAAGTAAGAACAGTCTGAAGGTCCGACCTGAGTTTGTTGGTCGTAGCTTTAACGGTCTAGGAGGAGATACAGTCTAAAATTTGGCTCAGAGGAAAGGCCTCTTCACACCGGCACAAATTTTGCGTGTGTTATTCGCCGACGGTTAACGCCTCGTGACTAAACAAAGGGCGCCAATGTGAGTGTGCACGCACCGACTCGTAAAACGCCACGCGTTAAAGCGTCTTTTTAAAAAAACGCCTTGGGTTCGTTTTTTTTAGTTTGACGCACTGCGTCAAAAACTATTAGACCAATGAGATTGGTGCTTTTGCTCACGTGTTTAGAGCTTCGGAAGTTACCGTAAACACAACTTGGGGGCACTCAAACACAAAAAGGTCTTGCCGAGCACACATATGCAACGGCGAAGAAGATCTACGCCAAGTAGCGTCGCCGTCTACTACACAGCCAGGAAGAAATAAGACGAGGAAGATGAAAGGCAAGATGAATGTAGAGTTCTCGTTGGTGTAAGAACATAAAGAACTATGAGACAAACGCGACAGGGACTACAAACATCTTGATTAAAGAAAACTGATATGGAGTGGTTTTGGCGAGCAAATGGGCACCATCTAATGTCAGGAAATGAATTTGCATGTTCACTCGGCTCATCGTCAGCGAAAATCACTTGGGTGTGAACACGCGCGCTGATATTCGTCCCGGTGTGTACGGGCCTGAAGAAGAAGTAGTTTAAGTACAATATCAGTAAGTTGGCTTTTCCAAGTCAACCTAAATATCAAAGTGACCAGAAGAAAACAATATTTGCCATATAAGAAGCAAACAAGCCAATTAAAAAAGCTGAGCATAGTAAAGTACCCGATATAATATCTTGTACTGTACTTATGATCAGCCTTCTCATTGTGCTTGTTTGCTTCTGATATGGCAAAATAAAGCACACAAAATGATGTATAACATTTAAACCATGTTGGTATATCATATCTGTGTTAATCTCCTATCTCAAGGTTTCCAGCGTTGTGAAACAGTGAATTTCCATTGCCTTTGCTTTGGTATAATAACATCTGTTGAATCAAATTATTTAAATACATTGTAATTCACATAATAATAATAATAAAAAATGTATTTTTCAATTTGGTTTATTTTATTCATGATTTGCTACCATCATTGCATATTTCACCTAGTGTGAACATTATAATTATTATTTTTAAAAAGGGTTCGGCCTGATTCTTCTTCAGTTCCCAACATTTCCCATATTTTGAAGTAATACTGCAAGCACCTGTTGGAAATGTACACCAAAAAATATACAAGCATGCACAGTTACCTTTTAACACCACTTTTACACATCTGATGGTGATGCCAGCTGAGTTGTTTGCAATGCATTGCAGATCCTCAGGTGTTGATTCTGTTATAGTAAGAGTTTCACTATAGACTATATCAGTTGTGCTGAGATTCCATCTGATTGATGGTGTTGGGTTTCCCTCGGCTTCACAAACAATCTCCACTGGATATCCTCGAAACACAGGCACTATGGAGGGCAGTTTGGTCTTATTGATGATCGGTCCATCTGCAGGAAGGAGCAAAAAACAGGTTACAAATGTTAATAATTAAGACCAATATAATACCTGCTAAATAAACTTGAATGTTTAAAAACATTAGAAGTGGACAAATTATTATACTTACAATGTACAGTAATGCTCAGAGGTTTTGATGTGACTTTAGGACGTTGAGATTCTTCTCCCAGTTTCTGCTCTGCTTCACACCAGTACTGAGCTCCATCATCATTTTTATTTGGATGGATCTGGACTTTATATGGATTTCTGTCTGAAGTATTGAAGGTGAAGATTGTTTCATTCACTTGATGGTGTCCTTTGTACATTCTCACAACAACCTCAGCCACAGTGTGAATGTCACACTGGAACTCATACCCCTCGTCCACTTTCATTGGTCCGGTGTGATTAACACGGATGGAAATATCTGGAAGACAAATAAAGCAATAACAGAGTAACTAAAATGAATCAAAAAAATTTAACTAAAAATTTGGGGGGGGGGGGTGTTTGTTTTTTTAAACATGTCCCTGCTTTAGCTGAGTGCTGTTTAAGACAAGGTAGCTACTCTATGTAGTAGTTTGTATGTTGCAACTATTGCTCTTTGACCATCAATGACCATCAGCCATGCTTCAAAGCACAATCACCATCTTAAGGTGTATTTTCCAGCACACTGGCCTTTGCTTCCATTCTGTGAAATGGTTAACTTCCTATGTTATATTGTGAGCAGTGTGGTATTTCCAGTGTGATGATCTCGACTTCATGGAGACGTCTTATATCACTGCTAAAAATGCTTAAACACGCATTTACAGTTCTTAGCTGGTTTACACTGGGCAACCTGGCTAAGCTAGTGTTTAGCTGGACAGACCCAAACTCCTCTAAACTAGCCAGACATGGAAAACCACCTAAGGACAGTAAACCAGATTAGGTTTAAGATATTTTTTTAGCAGGTAATCCAAACTCCAGTCATTATTGTTGCTGGAGCAAGACAAACTGTTACCATCAGCAAGTTGAGTGATTCACTTTTGCAAGTCAAAGATAACCTGTGAAATGTAGTTAACAAATTTAGTATACCAAGGAACCACCCTTAAAAAAAAAAAAACAGTGATGTTTCCCGGTGAATAGCTTCAGGAGCCCTTTACATTTTCTACCTGTTAAAAACTGAAAGACTAACTTAAAGGGTAACTAAACCCCTGGTCAGAGCCTGACTCCACCCACTAGCAATATTTGAAAAATGCTGAAAAAATGGGCAGACCCCAGCGGGGCTAGGGGGCGTGCACCTGAGACCCGCCGTGAGTGACAGCTGCTGTCAGACTCTAAAATAGAGCGAGACTAGTCTGGAGTGACTCAATAGCTGCCTTTGCAACAGAGCGGCCATTTGAAGTCGAGGACTTTTCTCCCTCACCTTCACCTGAAGTGGATGAGGGTGAATTGTATGTATACACAGGGCCAAATCCATTCGAGCTGCTGGCTCAAACTGCGGTCTTAACTCCCGCATCGCGACCGGCATCTGATGAGTTATGTCGTCGAGTTGATCTCAATAGCGCACGCTATTGATATTATGCCGCTATATGAAAAAATCCAGCAAAATGCACCGGCTCGTTTGTCGACCCTAGAGGATTAACTTTATCCTAACCATAAATTGTGATTAAAATATCCATGATCACTCACATCAAGACGCCGCTGCGGTGGAGGAGTACATGCAGGACGAGCAGTGTTTGGCACTGCGTGTGCAGCTGTGTGGAGAAGCCCATGTCCACCTCTATTCCGTTACTATCCTGATCACTGTACTAAACACTGATAAATCTATGCTAACTTGAAGCTATCCTAACTGTACTATGCTACTAGCTACACAAAATAATCTAAATTATCTATATAATGCTATGCTAAATAGATGCAACAATACTCTATCCTGGTCGTTTTCAAAAATAATCTAAATAACTATATAAATGCTATGCTAACTAGATGCTATTATATGCTATAGTATCCTGATCGTTTTCAATATTCATAAATCCAACTCCTGACTCGCTACAGTAGTTTTGACGGAACCAGATGCTTTATACCAGGGGCTGCCAAGGGCGTGGTGAGCTCGCACCAAGGGTGTGACAGAGTGCGTCTGAGAGTTCGCTACGTCAGCAAGTACCCCTACTGCAGGAGCTTTCCGTTTAACCTGAAGAGGGCAGCACTCAGACGTTTTTACACCATATATTTGAAAATCAAAACACTTTATACTCAATTGTCAAAAAATGTACTCGAATCAATGAACAGCATTTATGAAGCTCCATTCTTACAGATCATTAACTAAAAAAAGTTGTTTTGGTGTTTAGTTACCCTTTAACTTTTATAAGCAATTGCTACGGTCTACTTTTATGGTTGGCTGCGGTTACTTAGGCTACAAAATGATAACAAACACGTTGTATTTATCTTGTTTGACAAGGTTTATCGCTATTTAAACAGTGCTACACAGAAGTCTTTTCAGAAGCGACTATTTAATCACCCTTGACGTATTTAACACAGCGTCATCAAGTTTAACACCGAAAACTGTTCTGAATATATTTATATATTATATTCTGTGTTTATTATTTATTTCCCCCTTCAGGAAAAGATAGATACAAGATTAGTTGTCCTACCATCCAACGCATACCACCTCGAAAACAGATCCAAAATTAGACACGTTAAGAGTATCCGATCGCTACACGCCGTCATTTTAGCAGTGTTTGCGCGGTATCGACACAGTTTCTAACCAGCTAACAGTGTTTAATTGTTCAGGCGATAACACAACACACTAACTCGGACCCCTCATTTATCGCAGGAAACCACTGCCCAGTCTGCCCTCGCATAGCTGCCTGCTTCAGTTAATGTTAGCCCTCCCCCACACATCTCTCTAAACAGTGCACGTATTGCAACTTTATCAATTTGTATCGTCACTTCAAATCGGAGTTATTGAAAAAGAGAGCACATTCATCTATTGGAAAAGGCAATGTAATGTTTTGAACATTGAAAAGCCACAACTCTTTACTTCACTTCACCTCATTTCCCTCGATTGTCAACACATCCTCGAGCTCAGTCAAGGTTGGGTATGTATAAAATCACAGCTTTGTTTGTATGCTGTTTGATATCTCTTACGAGGCTTATAAGTGATTATGGACCCCCTCAGGCATTGGTAATTTGTAACTGATTCATGAGTGAGCCACAGCATGATCGATGGACACATTCGCTGTCTGAATAAGCATATTTAGTATGCAGAAAGGAGCAGCATCTCTGAATACTCAGTACTACTCATGTCATAGAATGTATGATGCTGAGAGTAACCAGTCCATCACAAGATACTCAGACTGGCCCCATCTAACACAAATAGAAGAGCATTTTGCTAATGTTACAAAAGTTACAAAAATGTTTATTTCTGAATGTTCCTTGAAAAAAATCTTGGTAATATGAACATTAAGGGAACATTCCAATTGATCATTTTACAAACATTGAGGGACAATTTAGAATGTTCTTTGAACATTCTGAAAAAGCTAAGAGGTCCAAATGTTTCAGTATAACCAGTATAAATAATAAGTTTATGTGCTAACGTTTTGAGAACATTAATAAAGACCAGATAACTTTGAACAAATATTCTTTCACCGTTACTTTGAGAGAACCTTGCCAGAATGTTCTGAGAATGTTCGCTATTATGGTGTAGACACTAGATCACTAAAAGACACATCAGAAATTTAGCCTGTCAAGTTACAACTGTGGAAACCACTCAGATGCTCTCACCAGTGTACCAGAGTATGTCAATTTACCCTTATTAGCTTATAATTCTATTTATGTTTAAGATGGTCACATTTCTAGCACAGCCCATTTTTTTCAATCTCATCTGAAATGAGCAGTGTTGAGGGTGACGCATTACAAGTAACATACATAACGCAATCAGATTACTTTTGTGATGTTACGGGCAAAGTAATGCGTCACAAGTAATGTGCATTACGTAATCAGATTTTTTTGTTATGAGTACATGCATTGCGTAATCAGATTCATTTTTGATCTAACAAGTAATTAATTACAAGTAAAGTGCATTATGTAATCAGATTACTTTTTGATCTAACAAGTAAATTAATGCATTACATGCAACATGGATTACGAAATCAGATTGCTTTTAATCTAACAAGTAATGTGCATTACATAATCAGATTACTTTTTGATGTTATGAATATGAGTAAAGATATGCATTACATGCAACATGCATTACGAAATCAGATTACCTTTAATCTAACAAGTAATGTGCATTACGTAATCAGATTACTTTTTGATCTAACAAGTAAATTAATGCATTACATGCAACATGGATTACAAAATCAGATTGCTTTTAATCTAACAAGTAATGTGCATTACGTAATCAGATTACTTTTTGATGTTATGAATATGAGTAAAGATATGCATTACATGCAACATGCATTACGAAATCAGATTACCTTTAATCTAACAAGTAATGTGGATTATGTAATCAGATTACTTTTTGATGTTACGGGTAAAAAAATGCATTTCAAGTAACGTGCATTACATAATTAGATTACTTTTTGGATGTCAATGAAATTTACATTTTGACTAGTGCAATGCCCGTGCAAAATCTGTTTTTGTGTGTTTTTAGTAATTGTTGGTTTGGTATGTTAGGGTTGCTGAATAGCCTAAGCTACTATTACACAGGAGCCTAAACTCTGAGAAAACGATAACGTTAAGCGGACCAGAATAAAATATAATATTCAGAATTAAACAGTGTAGCTAATTTACATATTCAGTTAACATCCACAAATGAATAAGTGCTACACTTATATTGTATATATTATACTTATATGTATATATTATATTTATATATACTGTGTATTATTCGTGTGTGTACTGTATATTTTTCGATTGGACAGTAACTAAGTGCAAAATCACTTTTTGTGTGTTTTTAGTAATTGTTGGTTTGCTCAGTTCAGTGACATTTTTATTTGTGCATGGTTGAAAGCAAATACTGATACTGACATAATGACATACGATATGGAAAAGTGAACTACATATATGACTAACTACTGACAACTAACTACTTCTGAATAACTACAATATTCAGAAATAAACAGTGTAGCTGACTTAATGTTTATTTTTAATCCACAAATTTTAAACCACAACCCTCTCTAATGTCAGAATGTTTGTTTTTAAACCACAACTTCAATGTGTGCTTCTTTTACAGATATATTTACCGATATCTTTTGCAAGATCGGCACTGCACAAGTCAAGTTTGAAATCGATTTGACTAACGGTTCAAGAGATATTCGATTAACAGACATACAGGCAGACAAGACACACAGACAGACAAGACGTTCCTGTAGTTTATAGATAAATAACACAAATACATTTATTTACAGTCAAAAAATGCTGTTGATTTTTAAAAACTTTTTAACAACTTTGGTTTCTTATATAATAAACAGTAGAATGTGCAATGTGCCTTAAACATAAAGTGTAAGCATAGTTCCTTTTTATAAGAACACAAAAGAAATCTAACCAGGATTACTCAAATGTTTTTAATTGATCAACATCCTTGGTCAACAATGTGAGGATGTGACTGGCAGTGCGATGATCAAGTGAGCAGAACATCGATCCTTGTGACCGTCTGCTAAGACTGATCTGACAGGAGACTGAGTCGTGGCCAGAGGTCCTTCATGAGGACTGTGCTGGCTGTGCTAAGAGTCCATTGTGTGCTCGGGGCTTCCTCAAATCATAATGGCCCATCTTCTTTTTTTTTTTGTAGAGGGTGAAGTAGATGATGAAGATCATTGAGATGACCAGCACTACAGCAACAATAATGCATACTAATATGGGCACGTAATTCTCTGTATCAAAAGAAACAAATATATGAGTAAATCAAATTTAGGGAATAAAACCCAAGCAAGCAAAACTGGGGATGGATACCAAGCCTACATAATTGCTCCAACATATCAAAAGTCAGCAGCTAATCTAAGTAAAAATCCATGCAGGGCAACTATGGTCACACGATCCACAAGCCATTTCCCTTGACTGCAAGGAGCGCATTACACGAACAACAAACCAAACAGCTTCTTACAAAAGTGCAAATACTTTGTGAAAAGCCGAAAACATTAACCACAAAGGAAGCCGAGCTAAAATCTGAAAGCTGTGCGTCATTTTTACTAAACTGTTTTTGCTTTTTCACAATAAAATGTAAAAAATGTAAAAAACAAAACAATGTTTTTTAAACAACCAAACCAAAGTACCTTTCTGTAGTATTGCTGCTAGTGTTATTGAAACAGCCAATTAAACTAAGTCACTTAGAATTGAAAATGATACAAAAATGCATCGTTACCTTGTATGGACACTTTTACACGTCTGATGGTGGTGCCAACTGAATTGCTCGCAATGCAGTGCAGATCCTCAGGTGTTGATTCTGTTATAGTAAGAGTTTCACTATAAACTATTTCAGTTGTGCTGAGATTCCAGCTGATTATTGGTGTTGGGTTTCCCTCGGCTTTACAAACAATCACCCCTGGATATCCTCGAAACACAGGCACTATGGAGGGCAGTTTGGTCTTATTGATGATCGGTTTAGCTGCAGGAAGGAGCAAAAAAACAGTTTAAGAGGTGTTTCTCCTACATATACATGATAAGTGACTTTTGTTAAAGTCCCCGTGAGCCGGAAGTCGCAACCGACTTTTCTCCAGTGTCGTGATGTATTTCCAAGGGAAAAGCAAATGTTCAGAATTTTATTAAAGGTTAATCGGATTAATTGTTCACCTAAAGACTAGTAACGTGCGCCGACAAAGTAAATAGGTTACATTTTGGTTTCACGACGACTTTAATCCATATTAATTTTAATCTTGTAGTTTTCAACAAAACTACTCAAATCTAGAAATTTGACAAGAAAAAGTTACATACTGCATCCGATCCCTGTCATCACACAACTTGACTCTGTGACATGGTAAGTGGAAACCACTAAAAGTCTGCTTGATTTGGACTTTAACAGATGTTCTTAAAAGATGAAGGATAGAAGCTGATGGTTCTTACTTACAATATACAGTAATGTTGAGATGATTTGATGGGGCTGTTGGAGGAGGTTGAGGTCCTTCTTCTCCCAGTTCTAGCTTTGCTTCACACCAGTACTGATCTCCATCATCAGCTCTGTCTGCACGGATCAGGAGTTTAGATGTTTTATTGACTGGAGTCTTGATGGTGTCAGTGAAATTGGTTTGATTCACCAGAGTCTGTCCTTTGTACCAGCTGATAATGAGATTCTGAACAGGAGCCACATTGAGAACGTCACACTGGAGCTCATACTGGTTTCCCTCCATCATTGATCCGTTGTGATTCACAGTGCTGATGGACACACTGTCTGGAGTCTCTGTGGAGGAAGATTTACACTCTCTGATATCTGCAGTCATCAATGTACAGTAGATATTTCTGAGAATATAAAAGTATCAATAACAGAGAAACTCACTGTAAATAGTCACTGGGAGAGGTATTTGACACTGTTCCTTATAGTTTATGTAGCACATTGGCTCTATGTCCCATTCTGTCAGGTTTGACACTCTCCATGTGATGATCAGACTGTCTCTCCTCATGGGCACTGCTCCCTCACTGGCTTCCCATCCCAATCCTTTATGCGGGACAGAAGTGTTGCAGTCGGCTGAAACAGAACCGCCAAACTCCACAATAACTCTCTCTGGGTTGAGCTGAAGAGGACATTCATCAGCATGTGAACCTGCCCACAGAAAAGCAAAAAATACAGGATTTTTAAAAACCTTTTAAACATTTTTCAAACTGACTAAACAAACTGCACAAAATCACAAAGTACCTTATTTTATCACCTAATTTTATCACCTATGATTTTCATGTATGCACAGTGCCTTTCGATTTCCTTTTTTATTACACTTGACATAAATCTTAATCATAAATACATACAACATAACTTGCTAAGTTAACATACTTTGCTTGGTTTATTTTTATACATTTGACTTCAATTGAACCAAACTGATTTTAAAGGTTAATCAATATTTGTTATAAATCTCTATTAATTTTCAGCTGGTTTGAATTTTTGGTGTCTTTACATGATAAACAATAAATTCTTGTTGTAATATTTTTGTTATTTAGTCACCACAGCTGTTTATATTATACATAATAAAGTAGCCTATCTGTCAAAAGATCGGAAACATCATTTTTTATGCTCACAAAGGCTTAAAAAGGGCATTTATTTGATCAAAAATACAGTAAAAACAGTAAGATTGTGAAATATTAAAATAATTTAAAAGAACAGCTTTCTATTTTTAAAATAATTTTTCAATTTAATAATTTATTCTGTTGATGATGGTATCTCTGAACTTTCAGCATTGTTACACCAGACTTCAGTCACATGATCATTCAGAAAACATTATGAGAATTACAATTTTTAAATTAAGTATCAGTAAATTAATCAAATAAATTAAGTTGGACTGACATAAAAAAAATTTCTAATGTAATAAAGTTAAGTTAAACATACTACAGTAAATAAATTTAACATAAGCCAACTAAATTATGTTGACTCAACTAAACTGATTTTGAACTAACTAAATTAAATTGAAAACTTTCTTCAATTAAATTAAGAGTAATGAATTCAGTGAGTGATTTTTGAGTGATGATCATGCAAAACACAAAACAAAGAAATCTGGAAGTCATCTGTAGTAGCCTATAGTAGCCAGCCTAGCCTATTCAGTCACACTGTTAGAATATTTTGTACAAAAAATATCTACTGACTCAATAATCCCTCCATACCCTTTCACACCAAGGACGATAACTATAAGATAAAGTATTAGTTCATAAGGGCCGGCTTGTCTGCGGCTCGAGCTCGTTCCAGCAGAATGGATTCTGATTGGCTGTGATTTATATCGTCCATCAGCTGGATAACACCTTTCTGTGTTCCAACAATAATATACAATGATATTGTTGAAAGTGATTCCAACAATATCATTTCTCTGTGCCGTTATCGTTATAGCTGTGGTGTGACCTCCGCTATACTTGGATGTTGAAAACTAGGCCTATATTTAGAATTAGAATAGTTTTCTAGTTATCGTCCTTGGTGTGAACTGGCCTTATAGGCTACTCTCTACTTTTGTGAAATTTCTTGTCATAGAATTCTTAAAATATCATTTTCAGTGTTGACAACTTTGGTCTACAGACAAAAAAACCCTCTGAATTTCTGGGAACAACAACAAAAGCGCTCAAAAGAAAACTTTTTTTAATAAAAATGTTATTGCGCCCTCGTCTGGCTTCCAGATTCTTGGTGTGAAGACCAAAAAAGTAGGTCCGTTTTAAAAAGGATGCATAGGCTTGTACGATTAATGCATAGACTATAATTATTTATTTGTTTACTTTTAGAAGTCTTTTGAGGTTCAAAGCTTGAAACTTACTAGCTCTTATTTTCACCTGAAGATATACGCGTTTGACTGATGAACTGAAACTGAACTGTACTGGACGGGCAGACACAAATAGCCTATTTGTTATAGTTTCATCGAACCATGGCTATATAATTTATTAAGACATACCATGAAAATACAAAGAATTTTGTCAATGAATATTGCAGTAGCTTAAACAGCACTTTCTTTGTTCAAGTGACGTTCAAAACATTCAATCACTTACCTGCAACTAGAGAGAAGTACAGAATGCAAAATCCAGTTAGCCGCATATAGATAATCCGAATAAATGTGGCGAGACAAAATGACCCTTTCTTCATTTTAAAATAATGTTTAACTTTAGTCCTGCGATTTAGAAATGAGACGTCCTCCCCCTGTGGTGGATCTGCGTTACTCTACTCTCCCCAGTGGGTGAGTAAAAATGAGAGTGACTGACCACGTGTTGGTCAAGCCCTTCCCCTGTAGAGATTTGAGGAAGATTACTGGAATGCCCCGTTATTAAGGGAATAGATACTTACAGCTAAGCAACTGACTTATCTGTCTCTCCTTTCCATTTCACTTCCACTTTGTAGGCAGCCCACACACACATTCACAATGACCCCATAGTGACATAATAATGGAATTTACCGAACGTTTTGGCTAGTTAGTCATAGCCTATTTCAGTAGACATGTTGTCATCCAACAACATGTTCAGAACTTTATTAAATTAGGATAATATTAGTTAATTTTATCCTTCAAATTCAAAATTAAATTGTTGTAAAAGCTCACTGGTAAACAAGTGAACACAAAAACACGCTGGCATGTAGGCTAGCTTATCTCATATGATGTGACAACATGTCCCACTGATACCTTAACTTGTACAGAAAATGACTTTCAATTAAGAAAGAACAAATCCCTGAATAATATTTATTGGAGTAAAAAAAAAGCATGATAACTTCCCATGGTCACCTGTTTTGATTTATCTAGGCTACATAATAAAAAATAGCTATAAAAATGAAAGCACACAAGAACTAACAAACATGTTTCCATAAGTTCTAGCTCATTTCAATGGGCGTATAAAAAGTGAAATTGTTACCTACAAGCATCCGGGAAGGAAAGAAACTTGCTTGGATCCTGATAAGAAGTCAGGAAGCACTAGGTCAGGAATAACCTGAGATTGTGTGAGAGTTTGGGGTATCGAGTTCTTGACGAAGAACAGAGATTCCTGTCTTCTCAGTGGACTGGGGCACTTCACATTTAGGTAAATGCACTGTATCTTTAATCTTTTTTTTAATTAACATGTTTATGATGATAATGACAAAACTACATTTTTATTTAGATTAAAATGTGTCTGTGAAAAAAAAAAAAACCTCACGAGTCTTCTGCTCTGGAGAGACTTGCAGCATAACATTGTTTATTTCTTTAATGTCAGAGATAGGAGGGCTTGTGGGGGGAGAGAGACAGGAATGTGTTGAAACCGCAGGAATAAAGCAGACATCAAAAGAAAATTCCTCTCAGTTTCTAGGCAATAACACACTATAGCGATAGTTGTAATTCTGAATAAAGGCAGATCAGTGGTGTGACTTATATTTAGATACAATATTACAGTTATTTAGTCTATTTCTGTTCTGTCAATGTAAATAGTTGCAAAACAGAATAATCGTTTCATCTCCAAGCAAAAACTAGTCACATAAGCTGCTTCCCAAGTCAGAAAGCCTGTCGCAGGCCGGTTGCGTCACATCAGTGCGATGAAGGCTGTCCCAATTCGAAGGTTCCTTCAAATGCAAATTCAAAACCTTTGTTTCTCGAGCAATGAGGAACAAAGAACGTTATATAGCGGTGGAATACAACCGTGGCTTTTGAAGCTTCTGAATTAAAGGGATAGTTCACTTTGAAATTAATTTTTGATATGTTTTAGCTTACCTCAAGGGCATCCAAGATGTAGGTGTCTTTGTTTCCACAGTATTTTCAATTTTGATGTTTTTAGGTCAAACCGTTCTTGTCTGTCAGTCATATAATGGAGGTATATGGGGTCCACCTCAAAGAGCATGAAAAGAGAAGTCCAAATTAAACATGATTTAATGACTCGTAAATGTAAATGGCCTGAGACACGAAACGAGTGGTTTGTGTGAGAAAACGAACAGTATTTATATTGTTTTTACCTCTTGTAACCACAGCCACGTCCAAGTGATCTGAGGACACAGGCTCTTCGGTCTACGCAAGCGCCGGAAAGCAGGCGGAAGTGATCTCTGATTCAATTTCAAAATGAACTATCCCTTTAAGACGCAGTTATTTGTTCCCCCAATGAATCAGCGTTTTGAATGAATCGGTTGAATGAATAATTCAATTACCTACTCAAACACTTTTTGAATTGTAATCAATAAACGTGACAAGAATCACTTGTTTATCAAAATATGTGTAACTCATTGTTTAACGCTGAAGAAAAACAATCTTTCATAAAAAGTGTCATATCTTGGAGTCACTAAAAAATCCCCGCCATGCAGAGTAAAAAAAATACAGACAAAACAGGGAGAATCCAGCACTGTTGGGTCAAATTTGAGGACTGGAACTAACTGTTGTATAAATCGTAAACCTACAAGCCTGCATATGAAAACGCTGAACTGAGGTAGGGAATAACTAATATAGACATAATTAAGGCTGAATATACATTACATAACTTTTACAGGTTTTAAAACACTATGCAAACGCTTGCTGACTGAAAAACACATGACACTACCAGACCTAAATGTAACTAGGCTACTCGACGCGCTCTGAGTGGGATTTCAAGTAGGCGTGCTAACAAAGACTTGCAACAACAAACATGAAAACAGCACTTGAATTATCAAACATGTTTTATATCCTCTATCTGTATATCATAATGAAGGTAAAAATATACACGCATTTTCTGTTATATTCTGTCAACTTCGACCGCCCAAATTCTGCAGACTGACTTACTCTGGCTTATGTCAACTAGCATCGACTCCAGGCAAAACAAAAGTCATAGTGTGTTCTAGCCTTGACAAATATGTTCCTTTTAGCCATTTGAAGGCCAATGGATGAGGCCACAGCAGAGATAAAGCGCATACTTTGCATGCGCAAACAGCCACCATCAGTGTCAGGAATTTTATTTCCCACAACTTTCTATTCTTGCTCTTGTTTGTTTTAAATTAGTTCGTGTAACATTTTTTAAAGACCTGCTTTCATACACACACTGTAACAAAACTTGGTGGTAATAAAACTTAACAATAAAATATATTTATTGGTCTGAATATTTAATGAAAATAACTATTAGGCTACTTTTTAGTAATAGTAAAAGTAATCAAAACTCTGACATTTTTTACATCGTAAATTAAAATGTGTGGTGGAATCCCTCAGAGATTTACATCAATTAATCTCTTCCAGGAAAAGCCATTTGTATACAAACATTTTCCAGCACGCATGTCCCTCCTTGCTATTCCTGCCTCCTAATTGGATTGGGTGTAAACAGTAAAGTCACCTTTACAATATTCTATGAAAAGAGCAGCACTTAATTAGCACTTAGAGGTATGTGCTGCTGAACTAGACTTTGTTCAGTATAATATTATTTATTTTAAGATCACAAACTTTTTCCATTCTACATTAATGAAGTGTATTGAGGAAACAAAGATACAATGAGAATTGCTTGGTAAGACCCGGGAAGACCGGACACATATTTAACAAAAGGTCTGAGGTGATAGGATGTTTCAATGTTTCCCCATGATCAATGTCAAAAAGTCCTTGAATTTGAAAAGTAATATAAACAATGTCATCGGATATAACCCGTGTTGTCTTTCCTTTATATTTTTAGGGCGCATGGATTTGATTTGGGACACCCGGCCTTTCCCGTTTTTTTATTTCTTCTTGGAAGCTTTAAAGAGACGCGTGGTAGAGCCGAGAAGGGGGGGTTTGCTGAGAGATCACGTGATTTCTGGTATGAGCAAGCTCTGAAGCAATACTCAAATCCTGCCAGAAATCTCCTTTCATAATTGACTTAATTAATTCCCATGAAGTTTCTTTTTTTTTAACCTGTTTGATTTCCCCCAAAGAAAGGAAAAGATTTTCATCCAACAAAAACAATGTGATGATTTACAGTCGTGCAGGAATTTGAAAGGCTGTTTGGAGAGGATCTCATGTTCATTAAACTGTCATCCCCCTTTTGAGAATAGACATTAAAATGCACTTTTCAAACTTAAATGGTTGTAATTCAAGAATGATTTGGAATACAGACCTAAGTTTGGTCTTGTTTTAAAGAAAAAACTCAGCAGATTATTGTCGAAGTGAAAGGACTTTAAAAAAAATGAAAATATGAAAAAGTTATGGGAGTTTAAATTTACAGCTGGCTAAATCAAATATACACACTTAATTGTTGTTTTTTAATATAAACTATTTATTTTACAAAATATGTTTTACTATAAAATCAAAGCCATATTTCTTACCAAGTTATTTTCCAAATTTGAAGTTGATATCACAAAAATTTGAAGTTCCCATGAGATTTTGTTTAGGTGTAATACCAAAAAAACCACCGGGTGACATACAGTACATTCCATTGGATTTAATTGAATGCATTCTGCAACAAATTAATAGCCTACATTTCTGTCCAGATATCACTTATTTCACAAAATATGTAACCTTGAGACTCAGACCTTTCTGACAATATGTGTTTTAGAAACGTTTTTGATCGTAAATTTTGAAACATGATGACGCCCAAAAGGGGAGGAACCCGATAAAAAAAAATTGGAGTACCGTTTCTATGGTAACGCAGCGTCCAATTTCAAAACGTTTTTCACAGGATGAATTCTGAGTTCGTAAACTTTCAAAAGATACCTAATTTATAATAACTAATAAAATATGTTATGTAATAAAAAAGGTGATATTTTATTATATTTTAGAGGATAATATAGCTACTTTTTAGAGGATAATATTATTTTATAATTTTTCATTGACAAATACTAAGATTATATGTTTTAGCATGTTTTAACTTTTAGCATGAAAATCAAAGTTTCGATTATTAAAAGTGTGTGCGTCGACGTTTTGTGACAAAGGTCAGAGCTCCATGATGTAGATTTTTTTGTCATATATTCATCTATTACTGTAACTTCCTACATATTTTGGAACAAAACAACAGTGCTAAAATATCTATTTAGGGGTCTTAGTCCTTTCCAACAATAGATAGTTTGTCATGATTAAATTAGGATTTAATTGTAATAGTGAAGTAAATGGTAACACTTTATACAATATTAACATATTAACTAACAAGAAACTGATCAATGAACTAGTAAGTAATAGCGCGAGATGAAAGTGGTACTTTACTATTTACTAATCAATATACTATTTCTTTAATGCTTCCCAGAGAATACTGAAACAGTTTCGTAATTCATGCAAAACTAATCAATAACCAATACAGGACAAATGACTAGCACACATTAACATTTTAACTGCTACTGTAAACGAATACACAAGGTTGTTTACATTATCAATTTGTATAGCATAGCAGACTTATGATTTGGTAAAGCTGTTAATAATTGGCCTATGCTGTCTATGTAT